TCGCCTCCCCCGGCCTCCCCCCAGGCCCGCAGGACACTCTCCGGGCACAGGAAGAGGCCGGGGGCTGGCCTGAGGCGAGGGTCTGGCACCCCATGCTGGGGCAGAAGAGTGCTGGGGTTCAGAAGCTGGGGAGGACCCCTGCTGTGCTCCTGCTGAGGGGAGGTGCTCACCACCACGTGACCCTGATACTGAGGAGCAGAGTACACTGACAGTAGCACCTCCCGCGGCTCCGCCCCCAGCCTGTGCGTGTTGATCAGGCCATTTTGTCTGCAGGCTTCTCCTCCTCCTCTCCGTGAGACTCTTCCAAGCCCGGAGGAGGTTTCAGGCTCTTCTCCTCGGCTCTCCTTGTCTCCTCCACCTTCCATCTCTCCTCAGAACTCGTTTCTTCCTCAAGGGGTCTCTCAGAGAGGTCAGAGGTCAAGGGTCAGGCATTGCATACTGAACTTTGCTGGAAAATAGAAAAAGAGAAGATAGAATAGAATAGCCCATTGATGTCATTGTACTGGTGTTCCACATCAACTGTGACAGCAGGAATAAATACAAAACGAGATAGAGGCACACACTGGAGAACAACGCAGGAAGTGCAACGAAAGGCGCTGGTCCGTGTGTGACGGTCGCTCAGAACATGGCTCAGATTGGTGTGGCGAGTGGGCAGGGTAACAGTCCGAATGGCCCAGGGGAGCCTGGAGGTGTGGGACCTGACTGACCCAAGGCGTGGTGCAGAGGGTGGTGGGTCAAACAAGTAGTGGGCGGGGTCTGAGGGGTATCTCTGTGAAACCGATCCAGGAAAAAGCACGAAGAGGCCTGTCCTGCTGTCCTCACAGCACGGACACATGCACCCGTGTGACGTGTGTTTGCAAACGTGGTGTGTGTGTCAGAGGATTCACCTGCTGAGCTGCCTCCTGCATCCGATGCCTTGATAAACACCTGAGGTCCTTTTGGCAGGAAACCATCAGCAGGAGGACAATCTGACATACGGGGACATTTCTGCACTGCTGTGTTTGCTGCTTCATATTTGGACCAGATGATGGTCTGTTTGGAATATCTGGCGTCAACAGCGTGTGTGAAACCTTAAACACCTGAAGCACCTGGTATATTAGAGCTCTAATAAAGGATTTTGTGCCTCGGCCCTCCCTCCCTACAGCCTTCAGATATTGTGGTGCTTCCTTGGCTGTGGTGTTGGAGGTGTTCCTGACGTTTTTGGTGTATTTGTGACTCTGTGAGCTGCGGCTCACATCAAATAATCCACAGCACATTAATAATAAAGCTCATCTTCAAAGCTGCGCCCACACCACCGACAGGCGCACGTGCATGGACAGCGCGCACACGCACGTGCACGGATGTTTACAGAAAAACCCTCATCGTAAACCCGAATACCGACACTCACCGGCTCTGACGTCAGCACGGTGATAGCCACACGCGCACACACACAAACACGCGCACATACTCACCTCCCAAGGTGAGACACGAGAGCCGTCCATCCATTCATCGTCCATCCATCTGCGCATCCAGGCGTGACAGCGACCCCCGCGGCCGTCCCGCAGCCGCGTTGGGTGCGCTCTGAGCGGACTGAGAGGCGGCGGGTTCCCGATGCGAAGCTCCGTATTTCCAAAAAAGCCGTAAGAGGAGAGAGGCAGGCGGGCAGGCAGGTGTCCGTCTGCTCCGAGAATGATTCTCCTGCAGAGAGGAGGTGGAGAGGAGGAGGAGAGAAGAGGCATGTGCGCTGAATACAGAGGAGGTGTGTGTCAGCAGAGACTTCTTCCACAGGGTCCTAAAGCCCCTCACATCAAACATGACGAATCGAATAAATCGTCCTTGAAAACGTCCAGGTTTGGACTCCTGAAGTCAAACCTGGTGACCAATCGCAGGCTCCGCCTCTCCCGTGGGACATCTTTCTCAATGATCTAAAGAACATCTGAAGATATTTGCTCGGACTTAGAACTGGTTTTAGTTTGGAGTTGATCCTGATCTGCATCCACAAATTTCTCAAAAAATTCAGAAATTCAATTAATGTTGAATTTTTGACATCTCCTTTTGTTTTTAGCTGGGAGACATCGTCCTGATGTTCTAATATTACAAACCGAATCTGTTCCAGATCTCCTTCACACTCAGTTCATGCATGTTTCCACAGTGATTACACTCACAGGCACCAGTACCCAGGAGGCCAGGCAGCTCCTGGAACAGGAGGAGGCTTCTGGACTGGAATGGGAACATCCGGGGTGCTTGGATATCTTTTTGGTCGTCAGGGAAGCCAGCCCTACGATTCTAACTATGGCTACGTTCACACTGCAGGTCTTAAAGCTCAAATCCGATTTTTTTGTCTACAAATAAAATGCGACAGCAAACGCGCTCTAGTGTGAACCCTCAAAGCGGCCGCATGCGCAAAAGAAGACGTCACACACAACGCGCTCTGTTTAGACCCAGAGCAGCAGTATTGTTTGACTGATGGCCTTAATATAAAGACTTGTTTCGGACTTTACGTTTCCCAATTTTGCTTTAAGTTATAAAGTTATTTTGTTGTCTACATTTGGCCTAATAATGATCCTTACTGCTGTTTTAGAGGAGCGGTGCTTCAAAGGATAGCTGCAGATTATACAGTACAAATAAAATGTTCACGTTTCTCCAACGTTGTCTTCCCAACAGTCTCACTAACATCTACACTGGATGGCCAGGAATCTCGGGCGCTTCTCCAGCGCTGATAATTGGCGTCTGTCTTGTGTCAGTGACGTAAAAGACAGATTTAGTGCGACATGACCATCAAACAGCAGTCGCTTTCTAAAACATCAGATATGTATCGGATTCAGGACCACATATGAAAGTGACCCAGATCGGATTTGTGCCGTTCACACTATTAGACCATGATCGGATATGGGTCGCATAGGGTCAAAAAAGACGGATTTGATGCACTTTCGCTTGCAGTGTGAATGTAGCTTTAGATGTCTCAACTCCACCTGCTGCTTTTCATGCAGAAACAATCTTGTAGAGACTAAACAAAATATAAACGAGGGAAGAGTCAAGAGAGAGAATGTCAGGGTGAGATATTCCATCAGGTGTCATGGAAACAGGACATTTTAAAATGAACCACACTTTCTGTCATAAACAGTTTTCAGACAGAGTACACCCACTAAAACTTCATCAGGTCCCATTAAACCTGGTATGAGTGATGGTTTGATTTCATCAGTGTGTCACATCACTGTAGACGAGGAGCTCACAGCTCGTCTGAGCAGTTTGCTTTTGTGCATCATGGACAAACATCTCCACTTTGTTCTGGTTTGTTCCAGACGTCCGGTGATTTGTGCAGTCAGGACTGTAGACCTGAGCAGAACTGCCGTGAGAGAGGAGGCATCAGGTGATCAGTGCATCGGATCAGGTCATCGATGCAGCCGACCAGGTCATCAGTGTATCTGATCAGGTCATCAATGCAGCCGATCAGGTCACCAATGCATCGGATCAGGTCATCGATGCAGCTGATCAGCTGCTGCTGCCGAGCCCCGTAGCTCCAGTGGAAGCACTGGGGACGGAGTCAGGTTTCCACGCAGTTGTTAATTCATTAACGTTGGTGTTATAGATCTTGGGTTGGATTTGAACTCTTGGGACCTGCTGAAACCCCGCCCAACTGCTGTTTGTGTGGGGTAGCCAATCAGAGGTAAGCTGTGTGGAAAATGGGGAGGAGTTAAATATCTCGCTTCAGACAGAGGATGAACTGCAGAGAGGCCGGTGTCAGGTAAAGAAGGATTATTCTGAACAGGGACTCAAGCACAGCTGCTTTCAGAGAGTCCAGGAACAGACCACACGTTACCCTCAGGAGGGAGGAGGTGACGGAGGGGAGATCAGGATGAAGCAGAGAATTTTGGAGGAGGCTGAGGGAAAAAACGTCAAACATCTGAGTGAGAAGAACTTATCAAAGCAGAAGAATAAGCTCCAAAATAAATTCATGGATAGTAACCGAAACGAAACAGGATGTAGGGCGTGCTGTACGCAATGATGGAGTCCTCATTCCCTGTTATCCCGCTCCACCCACATCACCTTTTTTTTTAAAGCAAGCAGGAGTGTTTTTGTGTGTTTTACTGTGTAAGATTTGTCCTCATGTTGAAAGGCAAAAGTGCCTTCAGTGATCCACAGATCACAACATCAGGTCACTCCTGCAGAGGGAAACATAAATCAGCACAAATGAAAAATGCTGCATCACCTTCATGCTCACTGGAGACCTGCACAGCTTCATCCACCTCACAGGTCCAGGGCAGATCTAACAGATGCAAAAAAAAAGAAAGAAAAAGATGCAGCACACCTCATGTCAGACCACACTCAGGGCCCACAGTCACACCGTCACGCTGAGGTCTGAATGTTGGAAACAAAATGAAAATCTGATTTTGTCTTGAATTTACTCATTTTTATCTTCACCACTCAAAATTCTTTAGAACCAAATTTCCAGCTGACTTCAAACTTCCTTTCCTGTTTTCATTCTTCGGTCAGTTCCTGCTGCAGTTCACAGATTAAACGTCAGCACCCCCTGCAGACTGAGGGGGAAAGCATCAGGTAGTGAAAAATGAAGAAAATACAAGAAATTAAAAACTGATATTTAATCTTTAATCAGCGTGAAATGGGATGCTCGTACATCGGAGGAGGACCCCAGGACAGGAGGAGTTACTGCCATGTCTGTAACTCAGAAAACAGAACACTTTTGTTTTTGGAGCTTTCCTCTCCAAACAGCAATAATAATATTAATGTGCAAGGGTTAGCCAGGCCCTTCCTCCATGTCACACTGAGTCCTTAGCTTAATATATCTCACCTGTACCTGACCCTCTGCGGTTACACTGTTACTTACACCTGTCTGTTACACTTACCTATTTGTTGCACCTGTGTACCTGTTAGTTACACCTACACAGACCTCTCTGATGTTTTCGCCTTCCCTGTTGGACTCGTTGGGCCGATGTCTCACTGCCGTCCAGCGGGGTGCGCGCTGCTCATTCAATCGTAGTTTTGAACCCAGCGAAGAAGAAAAGTGTCGGCGCGTGCGTCCAAGAAGAGGCCGTTAGTGACGCTGTTCCTGTCACAGTGCGCAAATGCGCATCCAGGAGTGCGGAGCTCTGGCTGAGAGCGAGCAGAGCCACACCGGCGGGCTGAGAAACGAAACCTTAGGAAGGAAGCGAAAACAGCGCTCCAGGGGGGGCACTCAGAGCTGGGGGAAGGCCTGTGACGCAGTAGGTAAGCCGGACTTACCTGACACTCGGCTGGTCCTACGGGCCGGGCCGTGGATGCCCGCGGAACCGCTTTCCTGCCGGAGGCCCTCCGTTCACATCCACATAGCCAACCCTGAGCCGCCCTGAGAGCGGCGCACCAAACTCCATTCAGAAAACTGCTAATTCAGAACAAACGCTCTTCGGAGAGCAGAAACACGCGCAGTCCCGTCCGTGTCTGAGACGTGTGGCGAGCTTGTCGGTGGCGAGCTTCGGTTCGGCACTCTGATACGGCACGCTATCGCCACCAGGGCTCAGTCGGGAACTGTTGGCTCGTCCTCTGAAGTATGTCTGAGGTGACGATGATGCAGAGCGGCAGACTGGATGTAGACTTCATTATAACTTGTGTTTAAAAACGGGAAGTTGGAGGCGCCGAATTTACTAGAATATTATATAGAGCAAAAGAGAGTGAGTGAGTTTGATCAGCGGGCGGTTTAAGGTTAAATTGAGCTTTTTTTTACACGGGCTTTGGTGTGACATTTTGAGTGCTCCGTCCATATGGCTCACCATGAGTAAAAGTTGGCTGGTTAGGTGTGATGGGTAGTTAGCTGGCAGGTTAACCAACAAAGCGTACCGCAGCTTTGACAAAGTGCGCACAAAGCGCAGATTTTTGCGGTTAAAGGTGAAACTAACTGCGGCAGCAAACTAGCCTTAGCAGCCGTGTTAGCTTGTTGCGTTCAGATTTAAAAAAAAAAAATCAAGTGCCCGGTTAATTCCTGAATCTACAGGACTGTCAGTGAGCTAATGCAATGAAAAGTCACTTTGACTTCATTAATGACACTACGCTAAAGGCAGGGCAGCGGCGAGCACGGGTGACTCCAGAAATTAGTCTCCTTCTTACCCAAGTTTTAGACGTAGCCCGATGAAGCTAGCAGCCGTTGGAGCGCACGCTCAGCTGACAGCGGGGAGACGCACTGGGATCGTCCCAGGGCCGAAACGAAGCTGGAAACCAGCCGACTTTGTGCTTCCACCGAACTCCTGTCAGAAATCCACAAATTTTGCCCTGACATCAAACTAGCGTCACATCCGTTTTATTTCACACCAACATCCACTCGGAGTTGTGATCCTCTTAGAGTGATCTTCTCTATCCCAGCTCCAGTCACATCTGCAGAGTTCACCCCATCACCAAAGTCCAGTGAGTTTGATTTCTGCACATTCTTCAGAATCCAGTGAGAAATGTGCAGATGTGACCGCTGACATCACACTACAGTCACATGTATTACTTGTCGTTATGCCACAGCTCCATTCACTTTCTGGTCCTTTTAGTTATTTTCACGATTTTCTTTGGGTTGATCAACTTTTCCTTTTTTTCCTCTTTCTCCACAAAAACGGAGTTAGACTTCAGGTGATGTCATTTTCTTGTGGCCTCCTGATGAAACTTTAGTCGTATTCTGGTTAATTTTAGTTTCTTTATATGAGAAGTCATAGAAGACCTGCTAGTTGTACACCGTTTTAACTCTGACACCAAACTCCAGTTACATTTTTGATCATTTTAGAATACAATAAAACTCAGTGTGGTCTTGCATGACTTTATTCCCGCCACAAAAGTACAGTTAAAATTTGAGGCATTTCTCTTTGGGCCTGCATATTTTACTCTTTCACTTTCATTTCAGAAGTCCTCCTCCTTCACACACATGTTCAGTCAGAGTAATTGTTTTAAAGAGAGGAACTGGAAGAATAACAATTATAAAATCTGCAGATTTCTGACTGGAGTTTGGTTTGGAGATCATTGGTTGCCACTTTCCTCAAGCCAAAGTCCAGTCCCTTTTTTGGTCATTTTAGAACGTCTTGACATCAGAATGCAGTAAAGTAAGTTTACTGAAACATGAATAAGCGACCTTCTTTTCTTTGAATAACCACTTCTCCTTTTCTGGCTCCTCCCATCAGTGACCATGGTTGGCGAACGCCGCAATGGGAACCTGCTGGTCCAGCTCGGCCCGAAACTGCAGGCGTATCCCGAGGAGCTGATTCGCCAGCGACGCACCCACGACGGGCAGACGGAATACCTGATTCGCTGGTGCCTCGTCGCCATCGACGATGGCTCCACCTCTGGAAGCGGTGCCAGCGAAGCGGGCGGGACGGTCGGCGTCAGCTCCGGAGTGGGCGGGTCTGTGAGCGCCGTGTCTGGAGAAACCAAACCGGAAAACATCCTGATGTGGATGTCAACAGAGGACGTGTACGCCAACTGTCCCACACTGCTGGGCAAGAGGAAGATGGACTCCCAGCGCCCCCTGCAGCAGGAGAAGCAGCGTGGCGGCGAGGCTTCCGACTCGGGCATTTCAAGCGGCACAGAGTTCCCGTCCGACGTTACCTTTGACGAGGTGGAGCTGTCGGACATGAAGGAAGACGTGAAGAACCTGGTGTGCCGAGCCCGGAAGCAGATGGCCAAGAAGAGCGACTTCTCCATCAACATCATGCACACCATCCACGTGTTGAGCGCCTACGCCAGCATTGGCTCGCTCGTCGGCGTCTTTAAGGAGACGGGCGCGCTCAACCTGCTGATGGAGCTGCTGTGCAACAAGGAGACTCAGACGAGGCGAAGCGCCGGGAAGATGCTGCGCGCGCTTGCCTCGCATGACGCAGGTAAGCAGTCTTTAAACAGCGCTGTGATCGGACACAGGGTTTAGTCCCCCCCGGTGGGCTGTGAGGATACTGCAGACTCGTTTCAGAGTCCTCAGGTGGATTAGGCGCCGGTATTCTTTTACACTCTCAGCGGTAGTTGGACAGAATTAACAGCTGGAGCTGCTGTGGGAGATAAAATCATCAGAATATTAAAAAAGGACCGACTGCGTCTTCTGCCTGTGTGACGGTCAGTTGTGTTTTAAGGTTTGGGGCGGCGGCGGCGCTCTGGAGTTTAAGTGATGAATGAAATGGGAAGTGAAGCGTGAGGAGCGATCAGAGTAATGACGTCTGTGCTCTCTGCGTCACAGCTGTTTGTGCTGAGTACCATCAGCTGATAGGCCGAGGCTACGCCGCCTCCTCCTCCCAACTTGCTCTAAAATGTGGCGTAAAATGTAAAACTTTGACCAGCTGACCAATCGGAGCGGGGGGGTGTTTTTCAGTGGGTTTGGTTTCAGATACACGACAAGAGCTCGGCGAGGTCGGCGGCGTCTCCAGTGCTGCATCAGTGTTTAGGTGTTGCTGATTGGTCAGCGCGTGAGAACGTTCAGCGGGAAACCGCGACAAAGATCGAGCTGCCGAGATCATGAATCGGGAGAAGCGTTTTCCAGCGGGGAGAATGTCCAATCAGAGGCGGTCATGATGTTGGGACTAAAGTTTTTAGTTTGTGAACCCTCAGACAGCCTGACATCACGTCACCGTGGCAACAGAAATGTTCAGCTGACTCGAGAAAAAACTGGGTAGGAAGTTCAGAGTACTGTGTCACCGCGGCCGGCCGTTTGAGGCGTGCAGGCCGAGGTTAGCAGAATGATCAAAGACAGAAGCGTGAAACTGACGTTAAGACGCTGAGATTGTGGTCGCCTTAAGATTTAGATCTGGACTTTGGAGAAGCCACCTGAGCGTCGAGGGGTGATGACTCAAACCTTTAAACAGGCCTCAGGCAGGGACAGCAGCCATGTTTACACGCCACAAAGGCGTGGAGCAGTTTGATTCCTGCTTGGAGAAGCAACACTGCTCCTCACGTCTCTCCACGTCAGAGCTGGAGTCGGAGCAGAAGAAGAAAGTTTTCATGTTCTGAGAATCTCTGAACTCCCGTACTGATGGAGGAGGGAGTCCTGGCGTAGACTGCTCCCTCTGAAACAGTCGATGACATCAACGCCTGTCACATGATCAGTACTCTGATAGTACTCTGATCTTTATGTTGCCTGTGTGGCCCCGCCCAGCAGGGGGCGCCGCTGCAGTAAACCTGTTTGACTGTGTGTGTTCAGATTCCTGGGAAGCTGCTCTTCTCCCTGGTGTCACATGATCAGTACTCTGATAGAACGGTGCTGATGATTAATAATCAATAAGCTGTGATCATGCTCTCTCAGTAATGTTCTAATCACTGATGGTAATCGCAGCAGCGTGAAGCCGAGCAGTCACTGGAGCTTTTGACAAACTATTTTATCTCTGTCTACTCCCGCCACGTTGAAGTGTGCGTCCTGTCACTTGTTACGGTCAGGGTCCAGAAGCACACTCGTCGGTGCAGGCAGCCAATCAGCAGCAGCTCCACACTCGGGCTAAAATGAGCGTTTTTGTGAATGGACTCTGGTCCACATCTGTCTAAAGCTTTGATTCTTTCAGGTTTATTCTGTGTTCAGCTGCTCGACGTCTCTTAAAGCTCCGCCTCATTCGTCCGTCTTCACCTCAGAGCTGAGAGCTTTGAGCGCTAACGCGGTCGAGCCTGATGCCGCGTTTACTCTGACACGGTCTGAAAAAATCAGTTAATAAGTTGATCAGATGTTTTAAGCCCCTGTTAAACACTGCCTCCACCCTCCTGGCTCCTCCCCCTGCTGACAGTGTAAATGGTTTAAAGTATAAATGTGTGCGTATGGGCCAGTGCCTCCTGGAACGACTATTGATCTGTTATTGAGTAGTGTCAGGCGCTGAGGGCGTGTCCCGCCGTGTCGCCCGCAGGCAGCCGGGCGTACGTGCTGCTGTCTCTGAGCCAGCAGGACGGCATCGAGCAACACATGGACTTCGATAACCGCTACACGCTACTGGAGCTGTTCGCCGAGACCACGTCGTCCGAGGAGCACGGCATCTCCTTCGAGGGCATTCACCTGCCGCAGGTAAGACTCATTTCTTTATGTTGTCAGAGGTGCGCCTCTGTGGCTCCGCCCAGCAGGGGGCACCGCTGCAGTAAACCTGCTTGACTGTGTGTTCAGATTCCCGGGAAGCTGCTCTTCTCCCTGGTGAAGCGTTACCTGTGCGTCACATCTCTGATGGACAAGCTCAACACGGCGGGGGCGGAGTCAGGCTCTGAAAAGCTGGACACTTGCCCTTCTCCTGCCTCTTCCTCCAGCAGCTCCGCCCACCAGACGGAGCAGCTCCGTGTCCAGCGGGAGTTTGACTTCACCATGGCCATGGCCAACCTGATCTCGGAGCTGGTCCGAGTGATGGGCTGGGACCGTAACCGCCAACCGCTTGATGGCTCTGCCCACCTCACAGGAGTTGTGGTTAGCGGGGAGGATCAAGGGGAGGAGGCTTCCCGCCCTGTCCTCAGGTCCATTTTTCAGCCTCGATTCTGCGCCTCCCCTGTCACTCTAACCACCAGCTCCGGTGGCGCGGCCCCCGCCGCCACACCACCAAAGAAGAAAGCAAATGGTTTCAAAACGCGCTCAGACTTCACCTGCCGCTCCGCCTACGTGGAGTACGTGCAGGACAACCTGAAGAGCGGCATGATGGTCCGCATGCTGGAGGACTACGAGGAGGTGAGCGCCGGCGACGAAGGAGAGTTTCGCTACAGCAACGACGGCTCGCCACCTGTACAGGTGAGGAAACCCGTATAGGTCGGCTGAAGTAGGGGGTGGGGCTTCATCCAGGCTGTCAGTGTACAGGGTGGGCCATTTATATGGATACACCGTAATAAGATGGGAATGGTTGGTGATATCAAAGTCCCGTTTGTGGCACATTAGTATATGTGACTGGGCAGAGTCGGCCATCTTGGATACAACTTTTGTTTTTTCAATAGGAAGAGGGTCATGTGACACATCAAGCTTATTGGTAATGTCACAAGAAAAACAATGGTGTGCTCGGTTTGAGTCCGACCCCTCTGTCTCGATCCCTTGCTCTGCTCTTTTTAACCAGTTTGAGCCTGTGACTCTTTCTTATTTAGAGGATGTGGTCGGCCACTTGAGGCCCACTGGTTCCCCAAATGATCCTGTCCCACCACAATATTTTGGTGGGACAGGCCAGGCTGTTCTTACTGTTATAAACAGCAGTTTAATATCTGGTGTAGTCCCTGCTAATTTAAAGCATGCAGCAGTAGACGTAGAGATTTTTATTGTCATTGTGCAGTTTCTTGCACAGCGAAATTGGGTAGCTGAACCACAAAGGTGCTAAAGTAAGAAGAAGAGAAACCAATATACAACGAAGGCGGAAAATAAATAAATAAATAAATAAATAGTACAACCCTTGCTTAAGAAACCTGCCCTGGACCACACTGTGTTGGCTAACTACAGGCCTCTCTCTAAGTTGTCCTTTATGTCTAAAAATTGTACACTGCCAATTGATGGATTTTTTAAAGGAGAATGGTATCCTAGAGGTCTTCCAATCAGGTTTTAAAAACCCTCATAGCACAGAGTCAGCACTCTTAAAGGATTTTAATGATATCCTCCTTTCCTGTGACTCTGGTAATCATGTTGTTCTTGTCCTCCTTGACCTAACAGCTGCCTTTGACACTGTAGACCACAACATTTTACTGTCTCGCTTGCACCATCTTGCAGGCATTCGTGGTACTGCTTTGAAATGGTTTAGGTCTTATCTTTCTGACAGAACTTTTAGTGTTAACCTTTCAGGGTATGAGTCCTCCTCTGCCGCCTTTCAGTCTGGGGTCCCGCAGGGCTCAATTTTAGGACCTCTGCTTTTTTCATTATATTTACAGCCCCTGGGAACCATCCTCAGAAGGCATGGAATATCCTTCCACTGCTATGCTGACGACTGTCAGATTGATCTGCCTCTGAAGCAGAACGATGCCTTCTCTATTAAGCCACTTCTAGCATCTCTAGAAGACATTAAATCTTGGATGTCCCTAAACTTTCTAAGATGCAATTCAAGCAAAACTGAGGTCATTCTGTTTGGTCCTAGCGGACCTTGTGAACCCTCGTCTATTGATTTGAGACCCCTGGCAGAGCATTTTTAAACCTGTTGTTACTAACCTGGGTTTTAAGATGGACAGTGATTTTAAATTAGACAGTCAAATTAGGGCTACTGTCAAGTCCAGTTTTTATCATTTAAGGCGTTTGGCAAAGATAAGACCTATTTATCTCAGCCGTATTTTGAAACAGTAATCCATGCTTTTATTTCATCTCGTTTAGATTACTGTAATGTGCTGTATTGTGGAGTTAGTCAGCGTCTTCTCTCTCGTCTGCAGCTGGTCCAAAATGCTGCTGCACGACTTCTAGCCAGAACTCTTAAAAGAGAGCACATAACTCCCATCCTGGCTTCACTCCATTGGCTGCCTGTATATCTTAGAGTTCATTTTAAAATTCTCATGTTTGTTTTTAGATGCTTAAACGGTCTTGCCCCAACTTACCTCTCTGAGCTTCTTCGTCCTTACCCACCCCCAGGTCTCTCAGGTCAGCTGACAAGCTGCTCCTGGAGGAACCCAGGTCCAAGAGGAAGCTCAGAGGGGGCGGGGCCTTCTCTGCCCCAGCACATTAGAGAGGCCCCCTCACTGTCCACTTTTAAAACACGTCTTAAAACCCATTTTTACTCCTTGGCTTATGACACAGTCTGACCCTGATTTTATTGTTTGAATCTAATGTGCTGATTTTATTGTTTTAAATGTCATTTTAATTTTTTTAATTTTTATTATTTTTCTTATTCTTTAACATGTTCAATGTATCATGTTTGGCATGTCAAGTGTTCAGCACTTTGTGTTCAGCTGATCTGAAAGTGCTATATAAATAAATTGCTTGCTTGCTTAATGCTGTGAATACTTTCAGAATAAAAGCACTCGGAGTACACGGAGCTGCATCCACATTTCGTGCTCTTATTTTTGAGTTAGAAACTGCACTCGGGTCAGCGTGAACCTGAGCCTGCTTCTGACCCGCTCTCTGCTGTGTTCAGGTGTACTGGAACTCCCTGTCCAGGACTTACTGGGTCCACTGGCACATGGTGGAGATCCTGGGCAGCGGCAGCAGCAGTCAGGCTGAGAAGGAGACACAGGAGAAGGCCTCGTCGCTGACAGAGACGCTCAAACTCTCAGCAGGTAAGAGCCGAGCACCGTCCGCTGCTCCTTTGCGTTCCTCCGCAGTCTGAGCACGTCTCTTCTTCTCTCAGTGAGCCAGACCTTCTTCTCGAAGCCTCCCGGCGGTCTCTACTCTCTACCCTACCTGTCCGAGGGTCTGAACACGGAGCCGGTCACTCTGAGCAGAGCCGAGTGGTGGGAGATCCTCTTCTTCATCAAGAAACTGGAGCCGAAGCAGCAGCAGGAGGTCAACGGCGTCCTGCTGCAGAGCCTCGACGACCAGGTAGGAGACCCCTTCGTCTTTGAGGTTTAAAGTCAGAGCGCGGGGAGGCGGATCATTGCGGTGAGAGGATCTGACCGTCAGCTGCCTGTGACGTAAGAGTGCCGCTAAATCACCTGATGTCCTTTGATAAGCGTCGCTGCGCGAGAAGCTGAAACATTCTCTGAAAATAAAAATCAGTCTGCAGAGTTTATCGCAGCGATGGTGAGCGAGGGCGCCTCCCAGTCACATGGTACAACCTGAGTCTGAGGGCGGGACAGCGGGCGCCTGGCTTGTCTACGGTGAAATGTGATCCGGGTTTGTGGTTTGAAAAGCCTGATTGTCACCACGTCTGTCCTCAGGAGGCGGAGCTGGACGACTCGTCTCTCATCGGCCTGTCGGTGCCCGGAGACGTGGCCAAGAAGCTGCTGCACTACCTGAAGCAGAAGCTGCCGTCGTCGTGCCTCGGTGACCTGCTGTGCTCCCACGCCTTCACCAAACATTACCTGAAGAGAGGCGGAGCCAGCCTAGAGGATGAAGAGCTGCTGGGTAAGAAAACAAACAACACGCCTCTCGTAAGGCGCGTCCTCGACACACCCTTGTCTCACTGTGCTCGTTTGTGCGTCTCTGCAGCTGAAAGCTCGTCAGGGCTGGGTGGAGGTGGCGGAGGAGGGCAGGGCTTCTCGTCTGCCTCGACCTCCTCGTCCTCAGCGATGGGCTCCGTCTCCAAAAAGGCCAAGAAAGAGCTTCCTGTGGATTCAGGCTGCTGCAACTCGGAGACGGAGAGTGACCTACCCACAGAGGACGTCAGCAAATACCCCGACGACCTGGAGGACAAGATGAAAGGTGGGGGCGGGGCCTGTTCCAGATTTGGTTCAGGTATCGGAGCGAGCTGTTACTCACCTGTGTTCTCTTCCTGCAGTGTTTAACAACCCACGGGTGCAAGGCAAGAAGACTGTGCTGGAGAAGCTGGGGGAGGTGGTGGACGTCCTGAAGAAGGGCGGGTCGGGCTCAGACCACGCCCAGCAGCTCGCCGCCGTCCTCTTCCTCACCCGGCTGGTGGAGGGGGCGCAGGAGAAGAACGCCACGAGGAGCGACTCGGCCCAGACTGTACGGTGAGACACCGCCAAGCGGTTTCCTGTGTCGTCCCGATGTTAACCTTCACTCTCGGTATGTGGGCGGAGTCTCGTCACAAACGCGGTCAGATTGCCTTATTTCTTTGTGGCGTTACTTTAAAAACTTGACCTGCTGCGCTGGCGGGCGCCGGTTGTGATAGTGTTTGGCAGGAAGTAGAAGGTGACGGCGTGTTACTCTCATAGGGACAAAGTGCTGAAGCTGCTGGTGGAGCTGCTCGGCTCCGCCTCCAAAGACGTGGTTGTCAGCACGCTCCGATTGACCCACCTCCTCATGCTCAAGTACGAGTGGAGGGTCTCCTTCGCCACCGAGGGTGGGGTCAAAGCCATCCTGTCCTGCATGCAGGAGTTCTCGGGCGTGGTGCATGTGCAGCAGCTGGCGCTGGCGGTGAGAAAACTTCTGGTCATTGCTCATCTGCCGCTTTGCTGTGGAATGATTCCTGACTGGCTCCTCCCCCTCTCAGACTCTGAAGGTCATCACGGGCGCCAGCAAACACGACCTGCGCAGCGTAGGCAGCAGCCCGCCGCTCTCCGAGTCAGGCACCCAGATGATGCTGGAGATCTTTGCCAGCATCGGCTCGGCCACGCCCGAGGGATCCAGAGGCCTGCTGGACGCCATTCCGGCCGCCATCGACCTCATGCTGACCACAAAAGGGTGAGTGACTTTTGGCTCGGCGAGTACAGTTAACGCCATGTGCTTGCCGCTCTGACACTGCCTTCTCTGTGCAGCTGCGTGCCGTCGGTGAGGAACGGGCTACTTGTCATCATCATGCTCATCTCCAACCACAAGAGCCTCGCGGAGCAGCTGGTCGCCTGCGACGTCACCAGCGTCCTGAAGAAGTGTCTGAGTCTGTCCCGCGCCGAGACCATGCTCGCCATCATTGCGCTCAACCACATCTCCATGGTGCACAAGCTGGAGAGCAAAGGTACGTGCGCTTTGATCACTCTCGCCAAAGTCCATTCAGATTTGTGCTAATTTTAACTCGTGCTCGTTAACCTGCGCGCTCAGAGAGCCGCGAGCAGCTCGACTTCAAGGACACGGAGCTGCAGATGCTGGTCGTCAGTCTGAAGGAGATGACGGCCACCAAGGAGGTGATCCAGACGCTGGAGCAGCTGCTGTGTGACGACGCCTCACAGCTGGAGGAGGAGCGCAGCCAGGTGATGTGACGCACGCATGAGTGCACGCGCCGCAGGTGTGTTTTCTAACCCCGGGTCTTGTCTCCGTGCAGGTGACTCACAGTCGGGACACCTACCAGGACCTGGTCCGTCTGATTGAGCAGCACCGAGGCGATCGGGCCGTCCAGCTGTCCATCCTCAGGTATGCTGACCTCTGACCCTGCTCACCTTGATGATGATTGATCAAAATGCTGCGTTCAGGTACAACAGGTGCTGGTAAAGGGGTGTGCACTCCCATCGCCGCCACACGTTTATAGCTCAGTCACGTTGTGCAGCTTCTTCCTGAGTGGATGTAATATGTTTAATATTGATGAGGATGCTCTTGTCTGATTGGCTCTTTACGCTCCCGCAGGATCCTGAACAAGTTCCTGGACAACTACCAGGAGGACGTGCTGCCGTGGCACGAGAGCATCGAGCCCTGCCTGTCCTCCATGACGGCCTTCATCAATGACAGAGAGGTCAGCTAGCTCCGAGCGCGCTCACAGGTAAAGCTGCCAACATACGCTAACCTCCCGCTTCCTCCCGCAGGTGGTGCAGCTCTTCATCCGCTTCCTGTACCGGCTGGCGTCTCTGAACAAAGACTACGCCGTGGTCATGTGCCGCCTGGGAACCAAGGAGGCGCTGGTGAAGGCGCTGGACAAGCACAGCACCAACCTGCTGCTGGTCACCGAGCTCCGAGACCTCATCACCGACTGCGAGAAGTACGCCAGCCTCTACAAGAAGATGACCACCAGCGTCCTCGCAGGATGCATCCAGGTACACGGGGGTGGGGCTTCTGTCACCTGGAGACGACCCTCGCTTGGTTGAAAGCAAACGTAAAAATTCAAACGCAAACATTCGTCTTTGGCTCTCAGCGAAGGCGGTCGCACTTTTCTCCTCCTCCTCTCCCTTAGCTTCCCTGCTTAGCCTCTTGTGTCCTTGTCTAGTCTCGTGTTTTTTGTATTACTTTTCCCTGGAACACTCTCACAGTCTGTTCTCTAAAACCTAAAAGAGGAATTATGGGTTGGATCAACTGGTCTCTGAATGCAATCAACACCCCTTTCTCAACGAGAAGTTTGGGCTCGGGTGAGCCTGAGTGCTGAAGATATCTACCTGTTTGGAACCATGGTAACAGGGTTCTGGCTGATTGGACCTGGCTTATCGAAGAATTAAGAAAGTGGAACCGGCTGTTCAAACCCCCACAAGGCTGCGTGAGTTTCTCAAAATGGGCTCATTGAGTGCAGCACGGAGAAGATCTTGGAGCTTACGGCTGCTGTGAACACTCAGAACAAGACCTCTGACTGCAGACTGGATTACATCTGGAGGGGCTCGCTCGAACAACAGCTTTGAGCGATCGATCACATCTTGGGGAAGTGCACTGCGGTCGTGAGTTCTCAGAACCTGCTCTTTGAGCAAAAACAACGACAACATCACAGAACGTAAGTTTGGATACCATCATAGAAAGCTCACAGCTCTCCAACAGGAGATTGAGAGACCAGTGTTGGACTGTAGAACTGCTTTGAAATTCATATGAGCTGTTCGCACTAAAGTAAAAACCACCATCACTTCATGCGGAGACCCTCTCGGCGCCAGCTGCGGCCTCAAGGCTGGAGCTGAACAACAACACCCTGATAACGACTGTGTTTAGACTGTTCCCCCATTCCATGCAAGGCCACCTGGGTTGGCTGGAAGACTGTTTACTTAGCCTGGCAGGGCGAAGGACACTGTCTCAGCTGAACTCTGGACACACACACACACACACACACACACAACACACACATCACACACACACTCATCCCCCCTCCCTTTCCAAACGCCTTCGATGCTTGTCTCCTCCCGGGGAAGATGGCGGTCGACTGGACCAGCGCAGACATGCTGCAGGACCGGATGCGCTGTCTACACCGGCTCTCTCTCACCCTTTACCCGCCCCTGTTGCTTGTCTTGTGTTTCTATGGTGTGTTGATAGTCATGTGCTTTTGTGCTGAGGTGTTTTTTCTGTTATCAAACTGTTCTCCCACTAGGAGCTCAGTCTGAGTGGAGTTTTTTTTCTCCTCCTCTCACCTCATGTAGTGTATTTTCGTTGTTTTTTTCCTATCAGCTGACCTCTCTGACATGTCTGCCCAATGTGATGTTTGTGTAAAGTTGGTCAGAAGGTTCCTTTGTAAGTGCGCATGCGCCATTAGCGTGCTGCCTGCTGTAACCCTGATTTCCTTCGGGATTAATAAAGTATTCTGATTCTAAAGTAACGTCTTCCCGTTTCCTGTCAGATGGTGCTGGGGCAGATCGAGGAGCACCGTCGCAGCCACCAGCCAATCAACATTCCCTTCTTCGACGTGTTTCTCAGGAATCTGTGCCAAGGTTGGTTAAATCCTGACGTTTCACCGCAAAACAAAAGAATAGTGAACGTCCAATCCTGGTCGAGTGTTAGGCGTGGCAGCCACCCGCCGCCGTGCGAAACGGGCGTAGCTCGCTCATGACTGACGTCTCAGTAACCAATGAGCATGCAGTGTGACAGTCAGAGCCGCCCCCTCAGTGTTCACCGTAGGTTGGAGAACAGGTGTCCATCTTTTATATACAGTGTGTGTTATTGTTGGTGCAGATTTAAATCCAGCCCTGAGTGTCACAGGTGGAGGTGGCATCAGGTGGTGTGTTTCCTCAGAGGCTGCTGATAATCTGCTTCGCTCTGGTTTCACAGCTCGCTGAGCTCCGTGAGCAGAGCCGCTTCACGCTGCCCTCCGGTGGTGCTTTTCTACCTTAGATCTGCAGTGGGAGGGGCTGTTGGCGCACTGGGGGAGGTGTGCTTCTAACTGTCTGTGCTGCGTCCAGGGTCCAGCGTGGAGCTGAAGGAGGACAAATGCTGGGAGAAGGTGGAGGTGTCGTCCAATCACCATCGAGCGAACAAGCTGACCGACAAGAACCCGAAAACCTACTGGGAGTCCAACGGCTGCACCGGCTCGCACTTCATCAACATCTTCATGCACAGAGGCGTCATCATCAGGTAGGCGGGGCCCCAGCTCCTCGCTGTCTCCTCCCGCCACTCGGGTAACGCTGACACCTGACAGTCTGTGTCTCCGCTCAGGCAACTCGCCATCCTGGTGGCCAGCGAGGACTCGAGCTACATGCCGGCCCGGATTCTGGTCCTGGGGGGAGACGAGCCCACCAACATCAACACGGAGCTCAACACGGTGAGTGCGAGTCTCCATACAATTCGTGCTGCGCTCGCTCAGAGCGTTCCCTCACCCGTCCCGTCTGCGTCTCCACAGGTGAACGTGCCGCCGTCGGCCAGCCGCGTGGTTCTGCTGGAGAACATGACCCGGTTTTGGCCCATCGTCCAGATCAGGGTCAAGCGGTGCCAGCAGGTCAGACAGAGTTCACGTCAGCTTCCTTCAGCTTCCCGTCCTCTCGCTGACCCCTCCCTCTCTGTCACAGGGCGGTATCGACACCCGCATCCACGGCTTCGAGGTTCTCGGTCCGAAGCCGACGTTCTGGCCCGTTTTCAAGGAGCAGCTGTGCTGCCGGACCTACCTGTTCTACAGCACCAAGGCCCACACCTGGTGTCAGGAGGTGATGGAGGACAAGACGCAGTTGTTGCAGCTCTTCAACAAGTATGAATACTGCATACATACTGCCGCTCTCTAGCACGTACAAGTACTGCAGGAAATACTGTTAAAATGACGTGACAGTACTGTAAAGTACGGCGTGTTAGAAAGCAAAGATGTTTTCTGTAATGGACGCAGAGCCTGCAGGAAACGTTAGAGCACAAAGTTTTACATTCAAACCGTTCACGTGTACTCAGACTGTGGGCGTGTCCAATGACAGTCCAGCTCGCTGTGAGCGTGTCTGCGCAACCACGAGAAACTCGCCAAGCCGCTCTAACGGCGTTTCAGTCGTGACGGTGAACGGCTGCAGTACAAATACTCACTGAAAATATTGTTAGAGTACTAGTAAATACTCTATTACTGCATCTAGTCAAGTACAAGTATCTGGATGTGTGTGTGTGTGTGTGTGTGTGTGTGTGTGTGTGTGTGTAGATCTGAACAGCGCTCTAAGACATGAGCAGATGTTAGCCGATCGTTTCCTGCCGGACGCCGAGGCGCCGAAGCCCTGGGTCGAACCTGCTGGGAGGCTCTGATCACCCCCATCGTTCACAGCATCACAGACTACACACACACACACACACACACACACACACACACACACCACACACACAACACACACACACACACACACACACACACATGAATATATCTGTTGTGGTTTTTGTGTGTAGTTGTTCACGTTGTCTTGCTGTATTATGTATTTTGAGGTTCGTTTTCTGTGTTTGTTGATTTGATCGTGTCTGTAGAAACATGGTTTCCTGTCTCGTTACAGCCGCAGGTCGTCCTCGTTGATGAGATTATTAATTATTGAATTCTAATGTTTTATTTCATGACCTCGTTAAAGCGGCCCGATGTCTGTGTGTTCCCAGAATCCTCTGCGTGCAGCCCTCTGTCCTGGTTGCTCAGTGAATATCTGGATAACTCGGAGGCGCCTCGCCGCTGTAAGAGTCGGGCCACCATCTTTAACTCCCGAGTGAGGCGGCTCACGCACCTGCTGGTCCACGTGGACACGAGCCGAGTGGACGGCGAGGAGCTCAAACCGCCCGTCAAATCCAGTGAGTCGGAGCATGTTCGTGGCTTTTATTGTGATAGCTTCCTCGTGTTTTTCCTGTTGGGTTTGTCTGATCCTGGGATTAAAGGGCATTAGTTTGTCTTTAGGTGTCAGTGGTGGTCGGGGTCAGAGGATCTTTGATGATACAAACAGGAAGTTCTGTTTTAGGAGCAATGTGTGTTTAAAAGCTGACCTTTGACCCTTTGTGGATGTTAATAACTTAAAGGAGTTTATTTTGTCTCCAGAAGGTCTCAACAGAAGCAAAGAGCTGAAGAGTAAGTAAGAGCAAAGTTCAGAGGCCACGTCTGTTCCAGGGTCCAGCTGCGCTCCTCCTCCCTCCTCCTCTCTGAGCCAATCAGGTCGAGCGTTCTTATCTGACCTCGGCCGCAGTCTCAGATCTGCCATCCTGAGTGTGGCGTCGTCACGGTGACTGTGTGGACAGTTTAAGTGACCTCACAGTGAGGGCGATGATGGCTGCTTGATGTCAGCCGTGCTTCACACTCACCTGTGACTCCAAAAAAACAGCTGGGCTTGAAGGTCCAAGGGGTCAAAGTGCACGTCAGGGTCGGCACGAGTCGGACCGATCTCACTTTTCTTCCTGCCGTTGAAACAAAAGCAAAACACAAGCTCGTCCGCCATCTCCGGGTTGGACCGTTACGCCGTCGTATTTCATCCCGAACAAAAGAAAACGCAGACTCAACCTGACGCCTTCTGAGGGTGACCGCCCGCCATTCAGGCCACAGGGACGCCGTCGCAGGTCGTTCATGGGGAGAGTTTAAAAAGATTTCAGTCTCCATAAAAACGGTGATCTCGTGTCGTCCTTTTAGTTATCATCGTCGGCATTCAAACATCCCACAGAGCTGATGATTGGGCGGAGCTTAAACCTCTGGGGTCGACGGACACCTCGGTGCATCAAAATCACATGACCAATTTAAGACGACACGGCTACAAGATGCAGCGACTCTGAGTCTCAATTTCAACTTGGGTTGAAACTAGAGCTGGGTGATTTTTTTTTTTTTTTTTTTTTTTTTTTTCATATCACGATATGTTTTTTTCATTTCAGGCGATAACGATATCTATCACGATATCAGCCAAATAACTATATTTGTAAGATTTAAATGTGCCGTTGCTCACAAGTAAAATGTGAAATAATCAGCAGCTTGTTTTTATTTAAATATTTATTTCCCATAATAAGTTCAACAGGGTAGATGTACTTAAGGAACATGAGACTTTTTCAGATAAATAAAGGCAAATATGGCAAACTACACAAAAGGCAGCCGCTAAAGCGTTTAAGTTTCAAAATAGAACAAACGAAACAGACTAAACTGTCAATTCCACTTAGAAACAAAATATTAATTCTAAAAATAAATCTTAGTTTGTTTTACAGAAGAACAGACAAAACTGACTAACTTTTGTCAATATCAAATAAACTGAGAACTAAAAGGAAATTCTCAATCTCTCCTTGTTGTATAGCTGAGCTTTTCAAACAGTTTTAACAGTTACTTTAGTCTGACAAAAGCCGAATGACGAATCAGCGCTTCCAGTCAGAGACTGAGCTGCACCAGTTTATTGTATTTCCAGACTTGCGTTCGGCACATTTACAGTGCAGCTGCTCTGTTTTTTGTCAGACTTGAAATAGCCGAAATACCTTCACACTACGGAGCTTCTGTGGCTCTTCCGTTCGACAATCTCTCCGGCGTTGGAACCATCATCTGTTTTCTCTTCGGTCACGCTTGGTTGATTTTTCTAGTCGGCACACTCATTTCCTCCGTTACCCGGCGGTACGGCGGCTGGCTGCTTCCCAAACAAATACACATGTGCGGCTTGGCACTTGTGCTGTACGTAACAAGTCACGTGACGTGACGCTGCGGCTGTGATTGGTTCGGCTCTGCGCTACTTAATTTGGATTGGCTGTTCTTTTTTTTTTTTTTTTTTTTTTTTCCTGGTTTGATCCCGCAGCTGAAGCTGATGGTTTCACACTGGTTTCTTAGTGTTTCAGGGTGTTCGTGATGGTTTTAAGACGTTCAGGATGTCAGCAGTTTGAGCTCCTATTGGCACCTGAGTGACTCTGAGCAGGTGTAGGTGAGCGTCTGAGGTAAAACGGGTCGGTTTGTCTTCAGCACCGGCGTGCGTTTTGAGCAACAGCACCAATCCGATGTGTTTATACATCTGATGGGTCAGATGTGTTTATGCGTATCTGAAACATCAACCTTGATCTGAAAAATAAATGCCACGGATTCGTTGTGCACAGTGATGCGTTCGGTGTGAACAGCTGTGTTACGAATAGATAAAATATTTGCATTGAATTTACACGTCTGCTGTTTAAAACCTCACAAAGGAAACATCAAAGACTCGCAGCATTGAACAATCGCCTGTTCCTGTTTGTCCGTCAGATCAGAACATACTGAGAGGAGGTGAAGCTTGTTGTTTGTGAGTCGGATTTAAAGTGAACCCTTCTGTTTTTAAACGGTGGCGTGGCGCTCTGTTTTGGTGCAGTACCCCCTCCTCACCAGCAGAGGCAACTAAAATGTGCCTGAGAGGGCGGAGGCGCTGCAGTCGGACCCTGTTAGTTTGGTTTTTACGCTTTGACATTTCATGCGTCCACATGAGGGCAGGAAGCTGGTGTCGCCCCCTGCTGGCTGCTGAAACATGTTTGTAGCTGCTGATGCTGGGGGAGGAGTCTGACAGGCAGCCCAAAAGCACCCGTTTTTGTTAGAAATGCCTCCAGCAGGCGGCGCCCGGCGACCTTCCTCGTCCTCATCTGAACCGACTGAAACATTCGGCTTCCTTCAGACGCGCCCGTCCTCCATCTCGTTTTCCTTCAGTTGGGCCGCTCTTTGTTTACTTCCTGTTCCCATCGCAGTCCCTGACGCGGTTTCTTTTCAGTGGGAAAAGAAGGACCGGCGCTCGGCTTCACTTTTCGTTTGTGGCTGTCGCGCTCTCATCTCACCTCCCCGTCACTCATCGCCGGCGAGCGTGCGCTCCCCAAATCCGACGTCTGAAATGTCGTCTTCTTGCAGATGGTAAAGAAGGGAAGAACAAAGAGGCCTCGGCAGCCGCCTCCACCTCCTCCTCCTCATCGTCCTCAGCCAAACCCAAAGTGAAGAGCAGCAGCAGCATCGCGGGCATCGCCCTCTGTTGGCAGGGAGTGGTACAACGCCAGGTGAGTCAGCTGTTCAGTGTTGTTTTCTGTTTGATGCTAATGAGCTAAACGTGACCCCTTCCCCTCAGGTGAAGAAGTTCCTGGAGGCGAGCTGCACTCTGCCGGACTTTGTGGAGCGATATCGGCGGCTCTACCTTCGGCTGAAGAACGCCATGGAGGAGCTGTTTGGCCAGCAGACCGCCTTCGTCCTTGCCCTGCGGCACGGTTTCTCCGCCGCCCTGTTGCAGCTCTCCATCCTCAGAGCTATGCACGTGAGTGCCTGCGCCGCTGCGCGTCCGTCCAAGCTCTCGTGTTCTCGGTGCACGGTGTGACGTTGTTGTGTTTGCTGCACGCAGGTGAGCGAGCGCTTCGCTCAGTACATCGATCAGATGATCCAGGCGAGCGGCATGGCATCCGGCTGTGTGGAGACTCTGGAGCGGCTGCAGCAGTTTCTAGAGCCGATGCTCTTCCTGTCAGGCCTGGAGCTCGCCAGCACCTTCGAACACTTCTACAGGTGCGATCACATGAGCGCCGTGCTGCGCCGAGCGTCCCGCGTCTCTAACGCTCACAGTCTCTCCCTCTGTGCAGGTACTACCTGGGCGACCGGCTGCTGGCTCAGGGGAACGTGTGGCTGGAGCACGCCGTGGCGGAGCAGATCGGCAGTTGCTTCCCGAGCCGCTTCCCGCAGCAGATGCTGAAGAACCTGAGCGAGTCGTCCGAGCTGCAGCAGGAGTTCCACCTGTACCGGCTGCAGCAGCTGGACCGCAGCCTGCAGGAGCACGACCAGGTTGCATGTCTGCTCCGCCCCCAGGTACCCATCGCCGCCTGCAGGGTCTCATTGTGTGTCCTTGTTTCTGCAGGTGATGGAGGAGGAGTGGGCGGAGTTGGAGGAGGAGGCGGAGGTCCAGGTCCTGGTTCTGTCGCCGCGCTGCTGGGCCGTCTCTTCACTCTGCTACCTGGACGAGCCGGCGAAGCACCTCCCCCCGGAGCTCTGCTCCTACCTGAACCAGTTCACCCAGTTCTACACCCACAGTGAGCACCTCCACCCACATCAGCACCCCTATTTCCAACAGCAACCAGTATTACCTCACGCTAACTGACGGATATTACTTCCTGTCTGCAGGTCAGTCCATATACGGTCTGAGCCACTCCAAGCCTCGGCGGCTGCAGTGGACGTGGCTCGGGCACGCCGAGCTGCAGTTCGGCGGCTGGACGCTGCACGTCTCTACGCTGCAGATGTTCGTGCTGCTGCAGTTCAACAGCCAGCAGGTAGGTCCTCGTGGTCTCGCTGCCCGCCGCGTTTGTGGCATTGGAGGAGTGAGTGCGTAGGTTGATGTGCGTGTGATGTTTGTGTTTCTGTGCGTCTGCAGGAGGTTCGAGTTGACGCTCTGCTGCAGGCAAGCGGCCTCTCCGCCACCGTGCTGCTGCACGCTCTGCTGCCTCTCATTGGCGAGGGCGGGCCGCTGACCTGCAGCCACCCGGACGACCCCGCCCGAGGTCAGACCCGCCTCACAAATGCACACGGCGTGTGTCAGCACCGCTGTCCGTGTTTTCTGACTTTGCATCTCTTTGCATCAGGTGTGCTGCAGCTGAACGAGCAGGTGGCGTCTCGCAGCCAGGAGGGCGCGCCGGCGTCCGTGTGGCTGCTGCCCAAACAGACGTATCTGAACGTGGACGAGGACGCGGCGGGCACACTGGAGAGGAAGAGGAACTACATCTACTGCCTGATCGTCCACATCATGAAGCAGGAGAAGGAGATGCATATCGACAACCTCGTCTTTAAGGTCAGAGGTTGCCTGCCTCCTTCAAAATAAAAGCCCGTGGTGGCATGTCAAGGCTCTGACCTGCGCTGCTGTCTTTCAGGTGCTGGACTCGTGTCAGAAGCAGGAGGCGTCGCGCTCGCCGGGCTCGGGCCGTTTCAGCTGCAGCACCAGCGATGTCCTGTCCTGCATCATGCACGTCATCAGCAAGGGCTGCATCCGCCGCAACGACGAGAACCCGCACATTGTGGAGTTCGTCCCCGAGGACCCGTCCACGCCGCAGAAGGGCCAGGCCCAGTTCTCCTTCAGCCGGGCCGACATCGGGAAGGACGCCACCTCCGACAGCCGGGCCGACATCAGGTGTGACCACGACCTCTGACTTCACACGTGGGTTCAGTCTGTCAGTCTCAGCTAAGCCACGCCCTGCTTAGCCAGGAGAGCGCTTTGTTTTACAGACGGCGTTTCTGAACCAGAAGAATTCTCCTTTCTTCTTCTTTGACTTTATTTTATTCACTCACGTCAGCTTTTTTTAATTTTTTTTTTTTTTATAGCACTTTGTCTTTATTATCATCCAATAGGAATGCAGTTGTAGAAAAGGGCGGTGCTGGGGCCTGCGGCGGTCTGCCAGCCTCAAACGAGGCCACAGACTCGAATGGGCTGTAAATTTCGATTGATTTTGATCGGCTCGACGTTTATCTGATCGGCCGATCGATCAGAAATCGGACGTCTGTGAAACGAAGCTGCTGAAACGGATCAGACACGATGTTGTAAATATTGTTTGACCTTTGACATCTGTCCACATCACACCGAAGCCGAACTCGACTTTAAGGAGAAGAAGAAAATGAAGTTTAAACGCTGATTTTGTTTGTTCTGATTTAAAATGCTGATTGACGAGCAAACCTTTGACAAATAAACTGATGAGGATCAAACTGAGCTGCAGTGATTCTTCAGAGCTCGTCTCTGTGCGTACAAGTCATCGTTGGATTAAAGAGGACGTGAAACGCTACACGCAGGCCCACGGAGCCCTCAGGCTCTCACAGCTGTAAGGCTGGCTGTGAACCTGGGTTTAAAAACAGGCGTAGCGCCATCTTCTGTCAGGTTGGCGCATGACGTTGTGTGGTTGGCACATTATGATGTCAAACCTTTTAAGCTTTGTCTTGAAGCTGTTCTTTCTTCAACCCAGGTTCACAGACAGAGTTGCACCTGCGTCAGTGTCTGAGGGCGGGGCTCCGTGGGGTAAATGAGGCTTTGCGTGTAGCGCTTCACGTCCACGTTAAACTGTGAGGGTATCGGGACCTGAGCTGCTCTCCTGCAGCGGCTGGTTTCAGCTGTTTATCAGCTGCACGTGTTCCGGTCCGGCCCTCACGGTTGACAGCGCCGCGAATGAGAGAGGCGGCAGAATGAAACGATGGACAGACGCTGCTGCTGTCAGACCGTGGGTCATTTCCACGTTCCTCTGACTATGAGAGTCGGTGAGGGCGATAACAATGAGACAAAACATGTCAGGACCAGAAACTGAATAATGAGCGTGAGGAGCGCACATGCTGAATACAGGTATTACACTCACTGCCATGCAGTCGGTGGAGGCGCACACTCCTGTCCCAGCACAGGTTACACAAACAGTCGTACTCTTTACAAGGGAGCCATCAGAGACGGAGACTTTCAAAAGAACGTAAGCCTTCACAAACGCCTTTACTTTTTTAAACAGTGTAAATTTGACTGGTCTGCAGGGGGCGCTGTCTCGGTGTCACCTGTTAAATGGTCTGGAGCTGGAGGCGTTTTGGTTCTTACGTTTGTTACTCATTCAACGAAATGACTCCCAGTTTTCTTCACTGTGAAATAAAAACTGAACTAAGATTGAATGTTAAACACCGATGTGAGCGAGGTGCAATACAACTGTGTGCCACAGGAGGGGGCAGTGAGTCAGTGTTACCTGTATTAAACCAGGTGAGTTTTCAAAGTAAAAGCACCAGTTTGGAGAGTCTGAAACTGATACATTAACTAAAAAATAATCGTATTCATTGATTATCAAAGAGTCCTCCTGCAGTGTGTGAGTGTTTCAGGTGTGTGTGTGTTGCAGTCTGGTGCCTGTGCCGCGGCGGTTCGAGGATGGCGTTCTTGATACCGTTCTTTTCTCGATGGGTCGCACGATGACGCAGGATGAAGTTCGTCAGCTGATGCAGAGGACGGTTCAACAGGTGAGATGCTGCATAGGCGCATGTGAGGTCAGGGGTTCATGGGGCGTAGTCTCCACCCCCTCAGGTGCGTTAGATGACCTCTCTGTCCTCTCAGGTTGCGGGGACGCTGAGTCTGGACCTGGACCGGGCCGAGCACCTCCTCATTCACTGTAAGTGGAACGTGGACTTGCTGGTGCAGCGGTACACCGACGACCCTGACGCCATCATCGTGGCCGCCGGACTCAAGTTCCTGAACCCTCAGACGCCGCCGAGCCCCGCCTCCACCTGCCCAGTGTGCCTGAGCCCGTGGAGCTGCGGCATGGAGCTGGTGCCTTCGCTGAGCTGCATGCACTACTGCTGCAGGGTCAGCGCCGCTCTCAGTTCTTGATGTTTGCCGTGGGCGTGGCGTGAGTCTGACTGTGTGTGTGTGTGTGTGTCGTGCAGTCGTGCTGGCAGGAGTACCTGACGGCGAGGATCGAGCAGAACCTGATTATGAACTGCAACTGTCCAATCACAGACTGCCAGGCTCAGCCCACCTCCCAGTTCTTCCTCAGCGTCCTCACTGACAAGGACACCATCGCCAAGGTAACACACCACCTGACCACCCTCAGGTTTGCCTGTCCCGTCTATGGGTGTTAAGCTCCTCCTCCTCCGCAGTATGAGAATGCCCTGCTGAGAGGCTACGTGGAGTGCTGCTCCAACCTGACGTGGTGCACCAACCCTCAGGGCTGCGATCAGATCCTCTGCAAGGAGAACACGGGCAGCATGGCGACCTGCTCAAAGTGCTGCTGGTCCTCCTGCTTCAGCTGCAACTTCCCTGAGGTCAGAGGTCACCTTACATGCTTTCAGTTTATAGGTGAAGCCGTAGTTCCCACGGGAACCTTGTTTTACCACAGACTGTATAAAAAGATGACCTAAACCTGCATTCTGCCTAGTGTCAAGCAGGGGGCAACTCCCCTGACGTCTGATTGGCTAAAGTCTCCTGGTCACCTGATCTGGTCCTTCCAGGTCTAACTGAATAAAACATGAAGATTATGCAGAGCATCCTTGTTGGCGGATGCTTTGTCAGTCAAATCCCGTTAGCCAATGAGTGAGCGGCTCCATAGTCAGGTGACCTTCTTGCTCATCGCACCAAACGAAGCACAGAAACCAGTGGGTGCATGTCCATCTTCTCTATACAGTCTGTGCGTTGTAGTCGCAGCACCTGGGTTTCGGGTGACCGCTGCTGCGTTAAACCGTTTAAAGGCCAGGTATGTAAACATGCGACCGCTCCCCCCACCCCTCCTGCAGGCACACTACCCAGCGAGCTGCAGTCACATGTCCCAGTGGATGGACGACGGCGGTTACTACGAAGGGATGAGCATGGAGGCTCAGAGCAAACACCTCGCCAAGCTCATCTCCAAACGCTGCCCGAGCTGCCAGGCTCAGATCGAGAAGAACGAAGGCTGCCTGCAGTACGAACGCACACAGACACACACACACACAGACACGCACGCGCACAGACGTGCTGGTAACGGTGATGTCGATGACCTCTCTCCTCAGTATGACCTGTGCCAAATGTAACCATGGCTTCTGCTGGCGCTGCCTGAAACCATGGAAACCAACACACAAAGATTACTACAACTGCTCTGCCATGGTTGGTCCACATGCTGTCATGTGACTACACAAGTCAGCCAATCAGAGCAGCAAACAGTGTGTTAAAGGTGTTATCTGTCTGCAGGTGAGTAAAGCGGCGCGGCAGGAGAAGAAGTTCCAGGATTACAACGAGAGATGCACCTTCCACCATCAGGCCAAGGTATGACTACAGACCATCAAAGAGCACCGCTGTGGCCTGCTACAGGCCGTGCAGTCAGTACGAAGAGCGCATAAGTATAAATTTGTCAATGCGATAACTCAAGGTGATGTAGGCACTTCAAATGAACCCCACACTTGCATCTGCTGAAACCCCGGCCCAGCTCAGGGGTCGGGGTTCTGAAAATACTGTGGATAGCTCCAGGCTAAGGCTGCCGCTGTATTTAATCACACAGTGACGTAGCTGACAGACCGGGTGGTGTCTGTGTGTGTGTCTGCAGGACTTTGCCATCAACCTGGAGAACAAAGTGTCGTCCATCAATGAGGCTCTGCAGATGAAGTCTCTGACCTTCGTCATCGACGCCTGTAAAGTCCTCGCTCAGGCTCGGAAGGTATCGTCCCCGTCGTCTTCCTCCTCCTCCTCCTCAGCCGCTCCCGCTGAGGTCGGAGCGTGTCCTTACCGTGCCCTCCGCTCTGTCTGCAGGTGCTGGCCTACTCCTGCGTGTACAGCTACTACAACCAGGAGACGGAGAAGATGGACGTGATGGAGCAGCAGACCGAGGCTCTGGACTTGCATACCAACGCTCTGCAGATCCTGCTGGGTGAGGCTGCGATCCTCTGATCCTCGCCAGGCCTGTGTGAACTGGTCTCACTGGTGTGTCTGCTGGTTTTCTCTCCTCAGAGGAGACTTTGCTGCAGTGCACCGACCTGGCTTCGTGCGTGCGGCTGCTGAAACCCGAACACCTGAACACTGGACTCGAGCTGATCCGCCGCATCCAGGAGCGCCTCCTCGCCATCCTCCAGCACTCCACCCAGGTACTCGCTCCAGAACCAGTTCGGTCTACGTGAGACCGAGCTGGTGAGCCGACGAGCGTTACGGCTCTGATGACAGAACTGGGAACGCGCCTCAGCCCGCATCATGGAGCCGATTCCTCTGACAGGCTTAGATGATCCTGCAGGGGGCGGAGTGAAAATCATGCACGCTGTAAAAAGTTAGCTCTGCACGTTTTCAGTCTTTGACATTAAATCCAACGCTTTAAAAAGATCTCGCCACGGCGGTGGCTCAGCGTGTTTGGTGCTGCAGATTTGTTGACACTTCCTGCGGTGGCGTTTACATGTGAAGAACGGCGCAGGCGAAAGTCGCTTCACTCTGAACTTTTTATTTCTGAGGCAGACGCGTTCACTACTCTCAGAAAATACACGGCCCGTAAACCATGGACAGCGTTTACTGTCAGAGCTGTGACGGCGAGCTCCGCCTCCACGCGCTGTCGTGTCATGACCACATTAGTCAGCAGCCTCAGTCAACGATAAAACCTATCAAAATAAAAGCTTCTTTAGCTGTTTCTTCAGAGGGCGCTGCTCTGACCTCCTGACAAAATGCGATGGGATGTTCTGTGATGTCATCGTTGCACTGCTTCCTGTTTCTGTCTCCAGGACTTCCGTGTTGGATACCAGTCCAAGGGCAGCCAGGAACCAGAGTCCACTCAGTCCTCCAACCTGTCCAACCACGCCGACGCCAACAAAGTGTGAGTAACGCCTCCTGCAACGTAAAGTGAGGTTGAAGGTGCGTACTGAGCACGTGCACACACTGACGCGCGCTCTCTCTCTCTCTCACGCAGGTCCAAGTCGGACCGGGCGTCCCACTCCGGAGACTCTGACAACAACAACTACACGGGCGAGGAGGGCGGCGACGAAGCAGAGGATGACGATGACGAGTACGATGAAGAGTACGTCCCAGAGTGGCACGAGGACTACGACGAGGACGACATCGACGAGGACGACTTCTTCTCCGACGACGACGAGTCCGAGAACCTGGAGAGGGACTTCAGCCCCTTCGACTGACTCAGGTTTAAGAGCCTGAGGGCGACCCAGGTGCTGCCGTGACCCCGCACCCTCTGCACCGCCATCCAACGCCACCTCAGGACGTCTGCGAGGGACAGACGTCCTCCTTCATCCCGAACACAGCTGCACCCGCTTTCTCACTTCTGTATCTCACTTCCTGTATTTGCATTCAGAGTACGGAAGCAGGCGAGGGTCAAAATCAGGAACGAGCTCAGAGTTTAAAAAAAAAAAAAAAAAGATTTCTACGTCCTGACGTGACCACTTCCTGTTTGTTCGCTCTTTAAAACTAGAACGAGCCCGTTTGGATTAGTTTAATTTGGTTAACCCCGGTTTAACTTGTGCTGACTTAAACCAGTTTAAACCAGTTCACGCTGGTTTTCCTTTTTCTCCTCCCTTCAGAAAAATAGTTCACGTGATATTTTTACGACTTCTGATTGGAGCTTCCGGCTCTGATTTTGGTTTGTTTTCCGGCCGGCCTCGGTCCTGCTTCCGCACCTGAATCATATGTTTGTTTTCCTGAAGAGTAAAGGTGAGAAACTGGACGGCGCCCCGGAGTCGGACTGCTAGTCCGGCTCTCGCTCGTCCTCCTCATCGAGTTCTGCCTTCGGTTCTGCGTTTAACGGACGTTGCCTTCGTTAGCGAGTGAAGAAACTCACTTCCTGTCTCCGTGTTTGGAGGTTTTTACGTGTTCTGAGAGTCTGCGGTTTCTATGCATCTGAAAAAAATCGATGCTGATGGTTCTGATGGGTCGAGCAGAACTGATCTCTAATGTATCACTGCAATAAACGAGCGATCGCTTCTCATTTGCTAAGCAAAGACTGTCCCCTGCTCCGTTTGACGCTGTTGGACGACTTCCTGCCCTGCGGGATTCTGGGATGTCGTCTGAGCTCCAGTTTTGCTGTAATTTTGAGAGATCTTATATTCATATTATTGATGTTCTGAGATGCTTTTCTGGTTTCTTTATTGGAGTCGAGCGACTTCAGCTAGCAAAACTAAATAAAAGCTTTTTCTGCTACTCTTCAGTTACTTTTAAATGTAATTAGATTACATGCCAACTGTGTCTTCAGTGTATTTTTTTTTGGGGGGGGGGGATGGGGGAGATTGAGGCAGTTGTACTTTAACCTCAAAGCTTGTCAGTCTTTAGTGTTGTGAGGACACCAAGGATCCTCCCACATCACGCAGAGAGAATGTAAGAGAGTAAAATCTCATGATACAGGTTTCACCTGTGAGGTCGTGACTTCCTCAGGTCGTCCACTAACCACAAGATCCACATCCCAGTGTCCTGGGGCGTGGTACAAGGTGAGAGAGAGGGTTAGGATACTTGGCACTCCCACTGTTATTCTGTAATTATTTTTTGTTCCATTCTTGTTTTGTACCCATCAGCAATTCTGCTATATTTGCACCCTAATATATGAGAACGGAGGAAAACTTACATAAGTCTGTTTCGTGGAATGTTACTAAAGTAATAAATGCATGAACTAGTTTTTCAGCGTCACTCTGAGACAGGATATTTCTAACTTTAGAGATGTTGCACAAATGGAAGAAAGCAGTCTTACATATTTGTTTAATATGTGCGTTGAAGGACATGTCCTGGTCAAAAATGACTCCAAGGTTCCTCACAGTGTTACTGGAGGCCAAGGTAATGCCATCCAGAGTAAGAATCTGGTTAGATACCATATTTCTAAGCTTTTCAGGGCCGAGTACAATAACCTCAGTTTGATCTGAATTAAGAAGCAGAAAGTTAGCGGCCATCCAGGTCTTTATGTCTTTAAGACATTCCTGCAGTTTAACTCATTGGTGTGTGTTATCTGGCTTCATGGACAGATAGAGCTGGGTGTCATCAGCATAGCAGTGAAAATGTATGCTATGTCTTCTAATGATGCTGCCTAAGGGAAGCATGTATAATGTAAACAGAATTGGTCCTAGCACTGAACCCTGTGGAACTCCATAATTAACCTCAGTGTGTGAAGAGGACTCTCCATTTACATGCACAAATGGAGTCAATCAATCAATCAAAGCTTTATTCGCCACATGCAGGTTGCCCTGGAGTGAAATGGGACCCCCCCCCGACATTACACACACAACACAGACATTACATGGGGATACAAGTCGGAGATCGGTAGCGTTACAGAAAAACACTGAAATATACACTACAATGGGAAAGTACAAGAGGAAAAAAAGAGACCTCTACTCATGCTGGGCTCCTGGGAGGACAGCATGAGAACAGGAAACAAAAAAACTCCTCTGCACAAAAAAGCACATAAATGTCCACAGCACAACATTATGGAACACGTGACAAGCCACAGGGTCGGGTGGGGGGTGAGGAGTAATCCGAAGCAAACACAGCAGCCATCCTGCCCAGCGCTACCATTCCAGCGTGGGCTCAGACCCGCCGTGTTCCCAGGAGGGAACAAGCATCGAAGGCGTTTGGAAAGGGAGGGGGGATGAGTGTGTGCATATCAGTGTATATGTATGTGTGTGTGTGTGTGTGTGTGAGTGTGTGTGTGTGTGTGTGTGTGTGTGCGTGTGTGCGTGTCTGGTCAGCTGAAGTTTTGTATGGTCAAAATTGGTCAAAATATTTGTGTGGTAAAAAAGATTTGTGTGTGTAAAAAAGATTTGTGTGTGGACTTAGAAAAAACCCTGCAAGTTACAAGTACGGATTTTGACCCTATTTTTCTTCCTTTCATCTGATTGGTCAATGTCATGTCAATCACAAATGTAACAATCCAATCAGAGAACAGATGGGTTTGGCTGTCGGAGGGGCGCTTTTTTGAACTGCAGGTCCTTGAAGGGTGATACAGTTTGAAGCTGGAGGATCGCTATATAAATATCCGATAGCAGCTAGGTCCCCTAACTTTCAGCAGCTGTTGAAAGGAAAAAGTTGTGGTATATCAGTGGTTAGAAATACCATTATTACTTTAGGATTAGTTTAACACAAAGTCAGGGCTGACCCAGGACCATTGCTGTGAGTCACAGTGCGCAGCATAAAAGTCCTTTCACATCGGACGCAGGATGTGCTGCTAATGCTAACTGCTAACTAAAAGCAAAGGATCCAGAATTTGTTGCTGGCTGCTGGGCTCTGTGGGTTTTTGCAGCAGCTCTACCTGTACTAGATGCACCTGCTCCTTGTCTTTTCTATCTCTGACTTTATGTCCTCTACAAGAGTTTGTTTTTTTTGCTGGTTCTTCAAATGTTCAATAAAAACATGTATGCTAATTCATAACGAAGAAAGCTTTGTAATGAAGACTGTCATTTCCAAAACACTGCCCGCCCCCACCCCGCGTCCGCAGCGCTGTTGAAAAGGCTGTGGAAGTCCCTGTATTAAACACGTAGACCTGTGACACAAAAATCACCAAACTCGGACGACCACAGACTGTTTTCCTTCGTGGTGATGAAGGAAAACGCTGGGTTGGCATGTAAAAGGGCATTTATTCCCTTCAAAGACCTGCAGTTCAAAAAAGCGCCCCTCGACAGCCAAACCCATCTGTTCTCTGATTGGATTGTTACATTTGTGATTGACATGACATTGACCAATCAGATGAAAGGAAGAAAAATAGGGTCAAAATCCGTACTTGTAACTTGCAGGGTTTTTTTTTTCTAAGTCCACACACAAATCTTTTTTACAAGTACAAAATATTTATGACAACATTTTGAGCCCATACCCTTCGCCCTGCCAGGCTAAGTAAACAGTCTTCCAGCCAACACAGGTGGCCTTGCATGGAATGGGAAGGAACAGTCTAAACACAGTCGTTATCAGGGTGTTGTTGTTCAGCTCCAGCCTTGAGACCGCAGCTGGCGCCGAAAGGGTATCCGCATGAAGTGATGGTGCTTTTTACTTTAGTGCGAACAGCTCATATGAATTTCAAAGCTGTTCTACAGTCCAACACTGGTCTCTCAATCTCCCGTTGGAGAGCCGCGAGCTTCGCCATACTGTGTGATGTTGTCATTTCTTGTGCTCAAGGAGCCGATTCTGAGAACTCACGGCAGTGAGCCTCCCCGAGATGTCATCCAGTCTGCAGTCAGAGATCTTGTTCTGAGTATTCACAGCAGCCGTAGCTTCTCCAAGATCTTCTCCGTGCTGACTCAATGAGCCCATTTTGAGAAACTCACGCCTCGTCCCATCATTCCAATCCCAGCGGGCAGCCTTGTGGGGTTTGAACAGCTGGTTCCGCTTCCTTAATTCTTCGATAAGTCAGGGCCAAGCCAGCTCCGATCAGCCAGAACCCTGTTACCATGGTTCCAAATAGGTAGATATCTTCAGCAGTCAGGCTCACCCGAGCCCAGACTTCTCGTTGAGAAAGGGGTGTTGATTGCATTCAGAGACAGTTGATCCAACCCATAATTCTTCTTTTAGGTTTTAGAGAGCAGACTGTGAGAGTGTTCCAGGGAAAAGTAATACAAAAAACACGAGACTAGACAAGGACACAACAGGCTAAGCAGGGAAGCTAAGGGAGAGGAGGAGGAGAAAAGTGCGACCGCCTTCGTCAAGAGCAAGAGCAGAAGATATGATACAAACCACTGCAGAAGAAGCCAAACCTGGACCTGGCACTTCACACCAATTATACACCTATTTCAAAACCTTTGATGGCTAAAATATAAGAAAAGCTTGTTGAGACATAATTTAGGAAAGTTGGAGAAGCACAACATTCTTGATAACTCTCAATCTGCCTTTACAAAGTTGCATTAAACTGAAGAGCTCTAGTTAAAGTCACAAACAACCTTTTGCAGGGTGTCTCCTCAGTCCTTCTTTTGCTGGACCTTAGCTCAGCCTTCAATAACTTTAATCATCAAATGTTAATCCACAAATGAAACCACATGATCAGGATGTCTGGATTTCCAGATTTTTGAAGCTTAACGCAGAAAACACAGTCTGTAATTATTGTCCAGAATATCTGAGGTCTTTTCTCGTCCACTGTAAAGGCTAATGCTCTGAATATTGGCTTCACTCTTTGAAATATCTGACCCAGTCTCCATCCATTCTCTTCTGCTTATCTTGTCACAGTTTGAGGGGGGGGGGGGGGAGGGGGGGGGGAACTGAGCCTATCCCAGCGACCATAGGACGAGAAGCAGGGTACACCTTTGAACCTTTGACAGGTCATAGGTGACCTCATGTCATACTGTGTATGGTTGTGTGTGTGACAAATAAAATTTGAATTTGAATAAGGTTTCTGAGTTCATGTTTGTTGTTTTACTTGATTGTGGTCATATGACTGTGTTTTATTAATGCCTTTGAAAGACACTTTAAGTATACATTACTTATTTAATCACTCTTGCAAAAATGTTTCAGATTTAATTTACTAACATAATTTCTTAATATTCTGTATCTGTTAAATTGAGAGTGTGTCCAAGGAGCCGCAGGCCTCAGTTTGTCTGTGATTGGCCCATCAAACTATTGAACATCTCTAAGACTTTCTCTGGTCCTTATTAAATAACATCCTCGGCCAGTCAACATCTTTAACAACATTGAAAGTGTTTAAAAATCCTTCTACAGTGATTTTCTGTCCCAGTTTAATGACTTTTCATGCTTATTGAAAGTTGAGATGACTGAAAGCTGCAGGGACTGAGCCTGCTTTTCAAAATAGATCTGCTGCATCAGTGAAAATTAAACCAGTGCATGTAGCCACCTTAGTACCATTAGATTTACAAGAAACTCTTCATTTGTTTTTAAATTCAGTTTGAATTTTCTGATTTATTCAAAAATGTTTCAGATAAAAGGAAGTTGGATATTGGTTTGATTTGTTTATTTTATGAGGCCATGACTGAAACCTCGCAGGGTAAAACAGCTTGGAGCACAAAGTCTGCATGAAGAAATCATCGCAGAAGGTGCTCTGGAATCTGATAAATAAGAATACTTTGGAGGGGATCTTATTCTAATCAATTATAAATTGATACATACATGAAGGACAAACGGGGATTTTTCCGACAGCAGCAGAAGCAGTAGTTGAAGTTTCGTCCTCCTGGCAGTAGGGGGCGGTAAAAAGTCCCGCGGTCAGTTGGAGCGCAGAGCAGCGGAGGAAGCCCGAAGTTCGGCTGTGATTGTTTCACTTTCCGCTGAAAATATCTGAAGAAAGTTCTCCGCACGGCCGCGTCAGATGATCCGCTTTTACCCTGAAAAGGAGCGCTAACAGCGGGACCCTCCGGTGAGCTTGGCGGTGTTGGTTGATTAGCCGGCTAACCCCGCTACTAACTTAGCTTAGCTTAGCCTAGCCTCTTCGCCGTCTCGGGGCTCCGGCGCTGCCGCAGACCCTTGCCCACCTCCCGCTACACCCTTCAGTGAACACGGACATCCGCCTGACATGGGTCCCCCTGGCTGGGGACCTCCACCTCCTGGGGGCTGGGGCCCTCCACCGCCTGGTGGATGGCCTCCGCCGCCCGATGACTGGGACCTGATAGGCCCTCCGCCGCCCGGAGGATGGGGTCCGAGAGGGCCGCCTCCTCATGGTGCATGGGGCCCCAGAGGACCGCCGCCCCCGGACTGGGATCCAAGGGGACCGCTGCCTCCGGACTGGGATCCAAGGGGACCGCCACCTCCGGACTGGGGTCCAAGAGGACCGCCACTCCCAGACTGGCACGGCCGAGGACCCCCACCCCCTGACTGGGATCCACGGAGACCTCCTCCCCCTGGCTGGGGACCGGAGGACTGGGACTGGGACCGTCGTGCTGATTACTGGAGACCCCTACACCCAGAGGCTGACTGGAGGGGACCCGACCGGCCTCTCCCTCCTCCAGGATGGGGTCATCCTGGCTGGGATCCGGAGGGTCCCCCTGAACCATGGGGCCCCGAGCCCATCCCTCCTGCACCCATACCCCCTGTCGCCCCCCCTGTGGTTCCCCCTGTGCCCCCCCCTGTGGTCCCAGCTGGGATTCCCCCTGTGCCTACGGTTGGGATTCCTCCCCCGGACCCCGCAGCCTTTGTACCCCCAAGCTGCATGCCTCCCTTTGGATACCCACCAGCCTACCCTCCGCCCGGCTGGACAGGAGAGGTGAGAGCTCAGCAGAGTCCACACGAACACTGCCTCAGTCACAGATATCGATCACCGATTATTGATTATTGTGTGTTAGCTGTGATAAAAGCGCAGTTTATGTCAGAATAAGTGAATGTTTGTCTGGTTTCAGCCTGTGGTGGAAGAGCCCATGCCCAACCCTCCGCCTGACCAGCCCGAGTGGGTGAGTCCTGATCCCCGAGGACAGAGCCGTGCTCTAACCTGCAGCTGTGTGACAGATGTTGGTGGTACAGTGATGGCTGTTGAACCTTCGCCAGATGTTCCTGGCTCGTTGTCTCAGAGCGTGTCACAAACTGCAGAACACTTTGAAAATGTTCAGATGTCACTAAAATGTAAAAGTGTGCAGGATGTGTCTGAGCCTGTTACTGAACGCGCTCAGTAAAGACTCCTGCTGGTTTCTTTTTTTTCTTTGTTAGATCAAAGCTCTGATTTCAGCTCCGGCTACGGAGTCAACATCATCTGAGGCTAAAAAGCCCGCTGAGGACCTGGCTGTGGCCAAAAAAATTCCTGCTGCTGAGCCCGCCCCCACCGCCGCTGCTGCTCCCACCACTCCTGCCCCGACACCTAAACCTGAGGTCAGCACAATCAGTAAAGCTCTGGGGCTGCTGGGAAAACGCACATTTGAAAAGTAAGTACAGTTGGCAAAAATCACTCCCACCAGACTGCATTCACATAAACTCTAATTTTACCTTAGAGCATTGGAGCTGCTGCTGAACAGCTGCCTCCGCCTGTGACCTGGCGGCTGTGTTTGTGTGACTCACACAGGTACTGCACTCCTCTTTAAAGGGACAGTTCACCTAAAATCAAAAGCAGACTGCGGCCAGCTCGGTGGTGGAGACGTCCGTCTTCTCTCAGTATAGCGGAACTAAACCTGCTCACGTGGCGGTGCTCAGACTACCCACAAATACATCAAATGTATTCTATTTGTTTATTTAATAAATGATTTATTTATGCTGACACCTGTGGGGCATCTGTAGAACCAGCAGGCAGCACAGTTATGTGTGAGACGCATCAGCTGAGTTGAAGCTTTCATTTCAGTTTAGAAATGAAAGTTCCCACGTGGAACGCCTGCTCGTGGGAGCAGTGAGCGGTGTGTTTGTGGAATTCACAGATTCAGTCACGTCAGTGTGGAGGTCGGCTCGTTTCAGCAGCTTTGATCTCTGTACCGACGCGGCCACCGTGTCGCCCCCTCCCTTTAACACCTGTGCTGTAAATGTGACATCACTTCCTGTAGCTGCTGTTTAAACTGCTCTCTGTCTGCAGGCCTCCTCCAGGCAGGTCCACAGGGATCATCTCCTTCATCGGGGTGAGAATTCCGTCTGACCCTCACCTGTTTACCCGCTCACCTGTTTACCCGCTCACCTGTTTACCCGCTCACCTGTTTACCCGCTCACCTGTTTACCCGCTCACCTGTATGAATCTTCGTCTTTTTCTGTGTTTGACCTGCAGCCAACGTTCGGTTACATCATGCGTGAAGACCTGGAGAAGTTCAACTTCAGCTTCGACGCCTTCTTTGGAAATCCTAAAGCCATGACGGCCGGGGTCAGAGTTCACTTCACTGCCTGCAAGGAGAAGGTGAGGCGCCGGCTCGCCGCCTGTTAGTCGCGCGGCGTGGATGAGTTCTCTCTGTAAACCTGGTCTTCTGTCACTTCCTGTTTCTGAGCAGAACAGCTCGATAGCGACCGACGTGAAGGTGGCGCCGGGCGGGACCGAGAACCTGGACCCTGAGATCTACGAGGCCATTGTCTGTCAGCCAATCATGGAGCCTCAGGTGAGTTCGAGAAACCGCGCTGCTTTGTTTTATACATTTAGTTATTGCATTATTGAAAGCTTTTTCCTCACCTCTGGCCTGGACGCATTGTTTCTGACGGAGACCTGGATTCGTCCTGGGGAGTCGCTCTCCTTCGCTGAGCTACACCCTCCTGACTGTCTTTTTTTAGTTCACCCAGACCCACTGGTAAAGGCGGAGGTCTAGCCTCGGTTATTAAACATATAGTGCGGCATCTGCCCTCCCCTACCTACCCCAGTTTTGAAGTTCAACTTCCGACAATATGTTTGGTCTACCGACCACCAAAATACAATAAGACTTTTATTGCTGACTTTGCTGATCTTTTAGGATCTCTCCTCTTAAGCTATGACTGTGCTCTTATTATTGGTGATTTTAATACTCATATCTGCTGCAAGGGTGATCCGCTAGCCAAGGATTTTCTCGCTCTTATTGACTCTTTTAGCCTGTTTCAGTGGGTAAATGAACCTACCCCTTCTTTCGTGTGGCCTGGATGTTTGTATTAAGAACACTGACGTACTGGGATTTCGGACCATTTCCCAGTTATGTTTGAAGTTGACCTATGCAAATCAAAGCTACACTATGACGGCCCCGACACCTGGTGCGTACAATCAACCCCGATACCGTGGCTAACTTCTCTGCGGCCTTTGACTCTGCAGCATCTGTAATTGTTCTGTATCTCTTACGACTGTGATTATGCTAATTCTCTGATATCTACATGCTCTCATATCCTTGAGGCCGTTGCCCCTGTTAAGGTGAAACGTCCCAGAACTCACTCTCAAATTTGGCTAAATGACCCTACACATGCCTTATGTCGTGCTTTCCACCAAGCCGAGAGGGGATGGAAGAAAGACAGGCTCCAAGTTTCCCTTGACATACTACGTATGAGCCGCTCAGAATTTCAAAATGCCGCTAAAATGGCTAAAGCAGCTTTTCTATCGGACATTATTGCTACCAATACTCACAACCCCCGAATGTTATTTAAAATCTTTAATTCAGTGGTAAATCCTTGTCCCAAAGTGCCGTGGGCGCTCCCCCAACTCTCTGTGAACAATTTTTAAATTACTTCACAGATAAAATTAGATCTTTAAAAGCCTTACACCCCATAGTGAGGAGCCCTGCCCCTACCTCAGGATGCCCATCGACTTTTCATCAGTTTGAGTTGGTGTCACATCCCACTCTTAAGCGTATAAGCGATCAACTGAGAAATACTGACTCTGTTCGTGATATCCTCCCATCTCGCTTTGTCAAGGATGGTTTTGATGTAATTGGGCCCAGTGTCCTATCCTTAATGATTTCATCACTGTCCTCCGGCTGCATCCCGACAGTCTTTAAACATGCGGTAGTACAGCCTGTTCTAAAAAAAGTAATCTTGATCATAACGACCTTGCAAATTACAGACCTCCGATTCCATCTATTCATTTAAATCTCAGTTAAAAACGTACCTGTTTGACCGCGCGTTTTCAGTTAGTGCACATCAACCTTATGTTATTTATCTTCTACTAATGTTCCGCTGTATAAATACCCCCACCTTATATTTATGAATACCCAGTAATTTTATCTTCTAAACTGTGCTCTAATGTTTTATTTCTTATTTACTTTACTTTTGGGGGGGGGGTTGTACTCTGTTATAGCCTTTTATATCTTATGTTTTAACCTTGTTGTGAAGCACTTTGGTGTAGCTTCGGTTTTAAATGTGCCATATAAATAAAGTTGTATCGACCCAAACTGCCAAATTCAGCATTAAATACATTTTGATACATACATGAAATTAACAGTCAGTTAAATGTTTTTGATATATATACAAGGTTTGTACACACCTCTTCATTGAATAGTTTTTCTATATTTTTACTACTTTCTACTTTGTAGATTCTCACTGAAGCGTCAGATGTATGAAGCAGGTTATTTGGACTCATGTAGCAAAGAAGAAACTGATAAATCTGTTTTGTTTTAGATTCCTCAAAGTTAGCTGCCCTTTGCTTTGCTGCAAACCCTCGGCCTTCTCTCAGTGAGCTTCATTATGTGTTTATTAAGATCCCTGTTAGCTTCTTCAATAGCAGAGGTTCGTAGCGCAGAAGTGGAGCTGTCCAAAGCAAAACGCAAATCGTTTGTAAAGACAGAAAATAAAAGTGGCCCCAGGCTACGGTCCTGAGGAACACCACAAGTGTCAGAGTTACTCGCATTAAACGATACAGTAAACAACTCTTAACTCATTCAACAGCAGACTTTTCAAAACCATAACAATTTAATGTATCCAATAAGATTTCATGATCGAGTTGAATCAAACGCTCAGCTCTAACGACTATCTGGGGCGATCGTGGCTCAAGAGTTGGGAGTTCGTCTTGTAATCGGAAGGTTCGAGTCCCGGCTTGGACAGTGTCGGTCGTTGTGTCCTTGGGCGAGACACTTCACCCGTTGCCTACTGGTGGTGGTAGTGTCCGGCAGCCTCGCCTCTGTCAGTGCGCCCCAGTAGCTGCCATCACCAGTGTGTGTGAATGGGTGGATGACTGGTTGTAGTGCAAAGTGCTTTGGGGTCCTTAGGGACTAAGTAAAGCGCTATACAAATACAGACCATTTACCATCTCTGATCATCTGTTCTCTGTGAGGCCGCAGTCCTACAGTGTTCACTGATGTGTTCATCGACTGTTCTTCTATCATCTACTCAGAGCGAGTGAAACTCTTTTGGCTCCTCTGTAAGAAGTTATTCCACCCAGAGGACAGACTGACGTTATCACATCAGCTGCTGTTTGTAATGACCTCAGGTTATCAGCACCTGATGGGTTCTGTCTCATTAATTTTAAGACGTTCAGTTATATTCATACCAGCTCTGTCTGCATGATTTATTTCTGTGGATCCATCCCTTTTCTTAGAGTACAAACTTAAAATAAACACACAGATATCAGCGGGTGTAGTCAGGAAGGATCTGTCTACGTATACAGTGATGCACTGATTTAGCTCTCCTGCCCAAACCTCACTTATGATCTTTTTAATCTTTTTTTGTAATAACGTCTTTTGTTGGATTTATTTAATTTACTAACATAATTTCTTAATATTCTGTATCTGTTAAATTGAGAGTGTGTCCAAGGAGCCGCAGGCCTCAGTTTGTCTGTGTGAAAATTAAACCAGTGCATGTAGCCACCTTAGTACCATTAGATTTACAAGAAACTCTTCATTTGTTTTTAAATTCAGTTTGAATTTTCTGATTTATTCATCTGTCAAAATTAAAAAGCTAAAGGAGAAAAGAAGCGTCGTAATAAGTTGTGTGGTTAATTTTGTCAGTTTGTGTTTGGTGTGTTTGTCTTCAATTTCTCATTTATCACATTTCTGTTGTGTTTTTTGTTTATTCGGTTCAGCTGCATTTAGTTTATTCAGGTTTTATTCAGTAAGACCAGAAAACTGTAACAAAGAGATTAAATGTTTTAGCTCCTTTTTAAAGCTTTTTCATGTCTCTGTTTCTACTTCCTCTCCTCCACGTTTCCACGTGCTGTTGCCGTGCAGCCCGGCGAGCGTCAGTACCCAGGTCAGGTGTATGTGACCATCGGGCCCGTGAGGAGGAACCTGCCTTTCGACAGGAAGGATAGCACGGTGACGCTGCTGAAGAACGACCAGGTGCTCATCAACCTGCTGACCGACATCATCACAGAGAAGACCAGAGCCACCAACATCAAGCCCAAAATCCCGGCGACCTTCAGCCACACTAAGGAGATCAGAGAGAAGGTCAGGCCAATCCTCGCCTGCTGGCGGTGCTTGTGCGGTGAAACCTCTCCGCTGTCTATCCTCAAACGAGAAATGTCTGATTGCTCACGTTCTCGAATCGGCTTCTCTGTCTGATGGCTTTACTCTTTCCGCTCATCTGTGGGCGACAGGGCGTCATCGTCAGCCTGAAGGAGACAGAAGGCGTCATCAAGAGGCAGGACGACACGGAGCTCGCCTTTGAAACCAAAGAGAACTTCAGCGACGTCGAGTTCACGCAGGAGGACATCAACGAGGAGGTGGAGTTTACCATCATCCAGGTGAGGCCGTTAGCTGAGAGTGGCCGTCGGCGCCATTGACCGGACTGTTTCAAACATTTCTCTGCTCTTACCGTCAGCTGAGAGCGGGAAAACGAGCCGTCAGGATCCAGCGGGTGAAGGAACCCCTCCTCCTGGCCCTTTGCACCGCCACTGCTACCGCCGGCGGCGACGAGGAGGATAAGACAGAAAACGACGCCAGCAAAGACTGCTTCACCAAGCCAATCAGAACCAGGACCAAGCAGGAGATCGGACCCAACATGGTGCTGGACACGGAGCTGTACGAGGGCATCGTCAGCCAGACTATCATCGAACCCAAGGTAACCCTGAACTCAAACTTTAACCGTTTTAAAATGAGATGAGACAAACGGGAAACCAAGGAGATGGTAACTAATGTTTTATTATTATTATTGACCAGCAGATGTCACTAATTGACTTCAAACAGTGTTAAATGAAAATTATTAACATCTTCAAATCGGCACTCGGCAACATCCAATCACAGTCCCAGAATCTCACTGTGGACCCAAACTCTTGCTCCGCCCCCTCAGACAGTCTTTTAGTACAGTGACCTCATTAAAACGGCTCCAACAGCACAAACACGCTGCAGTCTCTGTTTGTCCCTGATAGTGGCTCCAGCGTACCACACGGTGATGGAGGAGGTGAGGATGGACTCGATGATTGCAGTGTAGAACTGCATCATCGTCCGTGTTGGCAGGTTGAATTTCTTCAGCTGCCTCAGGAAGTACATCCTCTGCTGGGCTTTCTTGATGACGGAGGTGATGGTGGGCTCCCACTTCAGGTCCTGGGTGATGGTGGTACCCAGGAAGCGGAATGAGTCCACAGAGGTGATGGGGGTGTCAGTCAGGATGATGGGGGGGAGTGGGGCTGTGTGCTTCCTGAAGTCCACAATAATCTCCACTGTCTTCTGGGCATTCAGCACCAGGTTGTTGTGGCTGCACCAGGACACCAGACGTTCAACCTCCCTCCTGTAGGCAGACTTTAAGCCAGGCCGTTAACATGTTTATTTAATAAGCTCCTCTCCCACGCCTCCAGTCCGGCATGCCTGGTTACCCGGGCCAGGTCCACGCCAATATCGGCACCGTCAGGACCAACGTGACCTTCGACGATCGAGACTGCGGCGTCACGCTTCTGAAGAACGACCACGTGCTGATCAACCTGCTGATCGACACAGTGACGAGGAAGAGGAGAGCGGCCAACATCAAACCCAAAGTCCCGTTCACCTTCAAATACACCAAAGAGGAGCGAGAGCTGGTAACGCAGCACGCACACTGATGACCCGCCTCCTCCGTTCTGCTTCTGGTCTCTCAAGAGCCGCTGTCTTTCAGGGCATCATCACCTCGCTGGGGCCAGAGGTCGGCATCCTAAAGTCGGAGAAGCACGGCGAGCTTCCCTTTGACATTTGCGAGAACTTCAGCGATACAGAGTTCAACGGTGATGACGTCCAGAAAGAGGTGGAATTCACGACCATCCAGGTGAGTGCACAAACCAAACGGGAGCGAGCTGCAGAGAGGGGGGCGGGTTTGATCCATCGTTTTGTCTCCACAGGTGAAATCGAACACAAGGGCCATCAGGCTGAGGAGGACGAAGAAGATCGAGGACCCGATTTTATACGAGCAGAAGAAACGGGATGAAGAGGAGAGGAAGAAAGAGGAGGAAGAAAGGAAGAAGAGGAAGGAGGAAAAGATCAAGAAGAGAGAGGAGGAGGAGTGTGAGAGGGAGCTGGAGCGGAAGAAGAAGGAGGAGGTGGCTGCAGCACTGGCAGCTGCCAAAGACAAGGTGAGGAAAGAGTTGCTCGGGGTTGTTGGAGGCGCTGAGTTCAGGCTGCGACGTCACATTTCGCAGCTCTTTTATAGCAAAGAAACCCACAACAGCCAACAGAGGGCACCCCAGGCCAACAGCTCAATAATAATATCATTAGCGTTGCAAAGTGGGCGGGTGCTGAGCATTCAAGCCACTAATGGTTATTGAATGAAATCAGGGAGTCATGACTCGCCAATCAGAGCTTCTTATTGTCATTTTATTTTTTCATAAAAGTGCATTAAACTGTTTGTTTGTTTGTTTTTGACTGTGTCCGTTTATCTTCACAAAAACATCACGAGCCACAAATATAAAACTCTGAACTGTTTCTGAACGCTCGCTGTCCTCCTGACATTCTGCAGTGGACGCCGCTTGGCTTCACAATGAGAGACCCCGACACGCTGGACGACATCAGCAAGGAGCGATTTGAAGGCACCATCCTCAAATCAATTCCCAGACACCCTCCCAAGACAATAAAGAAGGAGCTCGAGGAGAAAGAGGAGGCGACTGAGGAGGAGCAAGGAGCTGCCGATGCTGGACAGGTACAACTTCAAAAGCTCTGTGGAAACTGCAATTTCCCTGAAAAACAAAAAGAAAACACTCAGTTTGTTGTTTTCTTTCAGGTGCAAATAAAAGTGGAGAAAATGGAGGAGGGAGAGAAGGGAGAGGTGCAGGGAGGACAAGAGGTAACACTGGAGCTGAAGAAGGAGAAGACATATGAGGAGGTAACGAAGGAAAAGCCTCCTGTAGCTGAAGTCAAAACCAAATCGGACGTAGAGGTGGGCCGGCTGGTGATGACCATCGACGGCCAACAGAAACAGCTGACCTTTGGCCCCAAAGACCTCCTGACCACTGCCACCATGCTCGATGGTGACAAGGTGAGGACGCTGGACTTTCTTCTTCTATGTTTCAGACTAGCCGCGTTTATTTGCAAAATAAACGCAAATAAGGTCTCAGTGTTCAGCATCTACTGAACGTTTGCGTCTTTTGAACCTGATCCTGAACTGTGTCTCGCCTGCACAGGTGCGCTTTAACATCGCAACCCATCGGGAGACCAAAGAGGAGCGGGCGACTTGCGTCGAAATTCTCCACGACTCCTTTGAAGAATCTACTGAACAGCGTCAGCACGTAAGACTTGACGTCCGGTTACTCCCAGCCTCAGAGTCAAAAACAGAACAAGGCCTCAGTTTGGTTCTTAGGGTCTGAGTCCAGGTCTCTGCTGCTTTTCCAACCAGGGCATCGTGATCGAGTTCTTGGAGGACTCCGGGCTCATCAAGTGCACTCGGAACCCCCAGCTCTACTTCCACATGTCCGAGGTGATCGAGAAGAAGAAGCTGGAGTTGAACGAGAAGGTTGAGTTTAGCATCGTCCCGGTGAGTCCCCTTGCTGGGTTCTCGGGGTGGAGGGAAAGGTTACCGGATGTCAGGTAAACTCCAGAGGAGGGTCCAAACATTTCTAAATGGAACTACCACAAGGTGATCTGTGGAGGTCACACAAGCACACGAACTGCTCTTACTGAAAAATAGTTGGCTGCCTTTCCAGTGAATCCCTCATCTCACGGACAGACTCCGCCTCCAGCTGGTCCAGGCTCTTCCTGGAAAGCCTCCGTGGTGTGCCGAGTAGAACGAGGACTACTAGCTGCAGAGGAGGTGGAGTTTATCCAACCAGTGGATCAGGGATCCACTTGAGAGGCAGCTAAATGATATTCCGGAACAACTCGTCAAACTGCTGGCAGAGAAACAAGACAGGAAGTGCTGAGGCTTTCTGGTTGGTAGCAACCGAACTTTTAAAATGAAATGAGGGGAACGTCTTCAAGAACATCTTGTTTTCATCTGTTTAGTCCAGTCTCAGAGTTTTCCTCTGCAGACCTCTCTGTTTTTTCTCTTGATGTTGGTGTTAGATTTAACGCTTCAAGCTTAAACGTGAGGAAATCACGCGTTTGGACGCGCCTGGTGACATTTCCGATTAAAATGATGTTTTTCATTTCTTTCAAGCATGAAACAGCAGACGGGGGAGTCCAGGCCATTAGGATAAAACGTTACACAGAGAGCGTTTTCCTCCCAGTGAGGAAACTTGGTGGTGTCGGTGCAAACAAAGGAAAGGTGAGGATGACCTGATTTATGTTTACATTAGTCCAGTGTGGAGGTGCATGGTGGGCAAACTCTCACTAGTTCTGTTGGTAATTTATGCCATCATTTTTATGGAGTCTTCCAAACTTTCCTTCAAACTGTAAGAAATCTTTTGCGAAGAATGCAAAATCGTCATCATTCTAATGAATTTGTCATAACTCTTTTTTTGGCAGATGACCATCAAGCTGACAAAAGCTACCGAAGAGTAAGTTATACATTCAAAATGTTACCACTCTTCATGTAAATACGTTTGGCTCTGAATAAATGCCATATTTCTTTTTGTATCTCGGAGAAGTTGTAAAACTTATTAAGAACAACCTCCCTGTAACTTCCTCAGGAAGGAAAAACCAGAGGCAGAGAAGCTGAAGGCAGTGGTGAAAAATCTCAGAGCACAGGACAGTAAGACTAACAAGAAGGATTACAGCGCCACAAGGCGTAGATACAGCAGGAGTCAGAGCAGGAGTCGGAGTAGAAGTCCCTCCAGAGACCAGTTTGGACGTATCAAAACGAGATGCAGCTCCAGCGTCGACCGTGAACACCGGAGCAGCAGGCAGAGGCGAAGCCGAGAGAAATTACACAAGCGCACCCGAAGCCGCTCCAAGAGCAGGAGCAGGAGTCGCAGCCGGAGCAAGAGCTCCAGCAGGAGCCGAAGCAGGAGCAGGGAGAGGAGCAAAGACCGGGCCAGCAAGAGAAGGAGTAAAACAAACAGAGACCATGAAGAAAATCACAAGAGGAGGAGGGAACTGAGCCCTCCTCCTAGGCGAGGTGGAATTGTGGATGACGAGCTGGCGAGGAAGAAGCGGGAACTGGAGGAGCTGAATGAAATGATCGCCTACAAAAAGTCGCTGGTGGACCCAAGAGGACTGGAACCTGGACAGAGGACCTGCATTGACTACGACCACGGTAGGATCGCCGTTCCCCTCGCCGAGTACAAACCGGTCCGTTCCATCTTAAAGAAACGACCAGATGGACCAGAATATCTCCACCGTCCTCCTTACGACGATGTTTATTATGACCGCCCATATAGTGCTTACCAAGACAGGTCCTACAGTGACCCGTATGCCACTCGGCCATACGCAGATCAGTATGGTGACCGTCCATACAGTGACCGCTCTTATGAAAGTCACCTCTATAGTGAATCTCCCTATGGTGGCCCGCCATCTACCAGCCGCCGCTACACTGATCGATACGATGTTTATGATGAACCCTACGATGATCGCTACTATGACCCGGCGTATGTGGACCGACCTTACGATCCATATCCCCCAGCCAAACGAAGCCACTCTCCAGAACCTCGTGGCCTCTCGCCCCCTTCTCACGCTGGCAAAGCTCACACAGCTTCGACTCACCCGCCTTTGTCCCATAGTGCTGCCACATCCTCATGCCAGACCTCATTCAGACCCCCTTCGCCCATAGACTCACCTCCTAGAAGCCCTTCTCCCAAACTAAAGGAGAAGAAGTCACGCTTGTCTCCTCCAGCTGAGAAACCACCCCTGGACCGTTTCCTTGATATGCTTAACCGAAAGGTGGATGCTGAAAAGAATTTGGGACCAGTTCATGTTAATGATGACCTTCTGCCTCATGAGCGGGCTCTTCAGGATGGTAAGGGTTTCTCTCGAATTGTGGGGCTGGCTCAAGAGCCACCAAGCATTAGTCTAGCCCAAGAAGGGCAAAAGAGACCACCGAGCCCTAAACGTTCCTCTGTTGAGAAAACAAATGAGGATCCAAAGACAGAACCCTATGACAAGATCCAGAGTCTACTTCGTACTATTGGCTTGAAGCTGAGCACAGGAGAGGTCTCTAAACTAGCCAGCCAAGCCCAGGAGAAAGTCTTTAGCCCGAGATCTTCCACGGAGAGAGACACTTCATCGGCTCCACGGGAAGAACTGCGGACAACCAGAACCGGTTCCCTGGAATCGGATCGCATCCATTCCCGCTCGCCTGTCAGATCCTCCAGTTTGGAGCCGCTCAGCAGACAGAAAACTAACGTGTCTGAATATGAAGATTTCCTGGACCAGCAAGAGTTAGAAGCATTTAAGAAGGCACAACAGCTACAGAGTCTTACCAAAACGATGGGGAGCACAGCCACCACCACTCCTTCTCCAAAACCCCCTCCTGGGCCTCCACCTGCTCACTACCGACATCCAACACCACCATTCAACTGGCCACTTGGCGTCACCGCTGAGATTTTGCCAACGCAGACGTCCACATCCAGCATGGTCACTCAAACTCCTCCTGCAGCTGGTACACAATTCCAAACACTGGGACAACCTCCTGGACCTCCACCTGGACCCCCTCCACGGCGGCCAGGACAGCCTCCTCCGGGACCGCCTCCTGGACCTCCACCACGACGTAATCCTGGACAGCCTCCTTTCTCTCCACCCTCCAATCAATCAGTCTTGCCTTTTATTGAAGTGCCAGACAAAGCACCTCCCCTTGGGACCACCAGTCCTATGCAACCTTTAATCACTACTGTGGTACTACCACCGTCATCAACACTGACATCTTCAAGTCCTGTAAGCACTGACCACTCTGCTATCTCTACAACAGTGGCGAGATGCCTGAAGGTCATTGAGACCGTGAAATCTCTAGCTGTTCAGTCACCAGCCAAACCAGTCAAATCTGTCCAGTTCAGTTTACCCACAGAGCCCCCATTAGTAGAGACAGAAGATGACATAAAGCTCAAGCAGAAGGAGAAGGTAGGGTTCAGCACTACTAGACTATCAGATATTTTACTGCACGAGAGATAAAATAAATGTACTGCAGAACGTCTGTTTTTTGGATTGGTTCTTTCCTTAGATCGTATGTTTCCGGATAACTTGTGCACTTGAGAGTTAGAAACCCAGGAAATGTTAAAAGAACCATAAAATCAACTGCATCATGGTGGAAGTCTTGACAGAAGGTATTTATATTTATGTTGCAGCTGGATTTGTACAACCAGAGACTTTTGGAAAAGAGAGAACAGGAGTTCAAGGAGATGCTAGCCCGTAAGAAGCAAGGGGAGACCAGTAAGGATGGCTTGCTGATCTCGTCAGGTATCAGAACCTCTGTTTTTAAAATAAGATATTTCATCCTAACTAGAAACCTTTCACTTGCAGGTATTTGAATGACAAATATATTTTCCACTGAATACAATGTATATTATTTTCATGGTTTCTTTTTATTTCACTTGACAGGTACTTTGAGTATTCAAAAAACAAAAAAACAAAAGCAGGTTTTAGTGAGAAGCCCAGCCACGTGGTAAAACATTCAGAAGATAACATCAAGGAAGTATTGCTTTGCTTTCTCTGAAATTGAAAACATGTAACTACCCAAGCCTTGTTAGCCAGGTACGCCCTATTGGAGAGAGACCTATCTATTGCTAAGATACAGTCACGTCTCTTCACCTAGGTGGCCCTGCCATCTTATAGATTCCTACACAGTAGAGTCAGATATATATGTGTGTGTGTGTGTGTGTGTGTGTGTGTGTGTACACACACACACACACACACACACACACACACACACACACACACCACCACACACACACACACACACACACACACACACACACACACACACCACAGCTTTGACACCATTAACTCCTCTAAAAGCATCATAGACATTGCAATGCTACAATTGTGTGTTCTTCTGCTCCCGTTTACTGAGTCTGGTGGTTCATCCAATGATCGAGAGAAGCCACCAGCTGCGATCTGAATTCCGCAAAATAATGCGTTTGGTCTCTTCCATTGGAATATAGACTTTGTTTTGAGTGTAATTACACTGTATGACCAAACATTCAGTACCAGTCCAGAACCTGACCGTTTTTAGCATCAACCCACATTGATAACTAGACAGGTAGGCAGAGTGATCATGTTTTGGAAAGCTAGCACCATATTCAGCTTAGATTTACTTGCACTCAGTGGTCATTCATACCTACATGTAATTCAGAAGGTATATTCTTTTGCTAAATGGTATTTGCTGACTGCTTGTATGCTGGTTTTACCTCTGGGTCGTCCTAAAATAAAGGTCTATAATAATTTTGGATGAAGGATCACATCTCCAATCCAAAGAGGGAATTCCAGGAGACAGCGAAGGCAAATCCTGATTTGAGCCCCAAAGAGCCAGTAGATCCTGTGTCGGGCCTCTCAGCCTCAACACAGTACCAGATACTGAGAGGTGTACTGAAATTGTGACCACTGAGTGTAAACACTGAACAGCTAGTATAATATCCCATTTCTAAGCTTTGAATGGTTTTATGTTTTTCCTGATACCTGCTTTCATTTAATAAACTCAGTACGTTGATTCAGCTCACCAGGAGGAAGATGATGATAAAGACCATCCCAAAATTCATAGATTGACTCATTCCTATCTATATTTGGTTGCTCTGTCTTATCAAAATCTTGGGTAGCTACTATTCTTTTCTTTATTTAGTCTAAAATTCAATGTTAAGTAGTCGAGGTCTCAGTCTTATCAGAACTGCCTAGATCCAAGATCTAGGGTTGTATCATAATGAGGGAGCGTCAGTACAGGAATAAGTTCGGCGTACATGAATTAGTGTCAAACGAAAGTAGTCCAGCCCCGTACTCTGAGCCCCGTCTGCCCAAATGCATGCAATGCTAAGAGGTTGTCTAGAGCTGTCATTTTGTGTGTAGTTAGCCGTTATACAGCTAATGTTAGGTATATATCAGCCATCTATGCATGTTACTGATATATACTGTCCGAGATTAAGATGTCAAAACGGACATTTGACTGAAGTGAGAAAATGTTTCCTGCAGATAGTGTTAGAAACTATGTCAGCTATAGCTCATTAACGATGACAGTACCTTAAATACAGCAGATCTCAGACTGTCCATTTTCGCATTGGAAGTATATTGGAAATGCTAAACTACAGGTTCTTATGAACTCTGCTCTCTTAAGCCAAAATGTCTCACGGTCACGAATGCTTTGCCATCTTTTAATGAGCGTTTGTTCCATCTTGAAACAGCTTCTTTTCTGATTGTTTTAAGCGGTAATTATAATTTGGTTGATTATTGCTAACAAGTCCACTTTTCTAGGCATTTAGTCTTTAGTTTTTACATAATTGTTTGCACAAGATTTTTTTGTGTTTGATTTGAAGTTCTTGAGTCCAGTCCTAATGAAATACTCAGGGTAAGTCAAGTTTGCTCATTTCCATTTGCATCGAACTGAAAAGTGTGCAGAAGAAGATCCAGGAGACTACTCGTAATCCGGGCACCAACAAGTAAAGCCTTCCTTATTCATTTACAGTAAAAGGAACTCGGGAATAGTTATTTTTATCCAGCCAGGTTTAATACTTAACTGGAAGAGCTCGTGAATCAGGAAAGCTTCCTTGAGAAGGTTGTTTAATTCCACTGCAGGTAAAAATGTTTGGTTATTTAATATTTTAGAACTAATTTGGTACCTAATGAGAGATAAGAGAGGTTACTCATTAAGGATGTGACTTTTGTTCCAGAGTAGACTTGTTTGGACTGCTAACTACATTATTTCACATCTGCTTGATTTCAATCTTAGATACAAGATTTTGTGTTTTATAGGCTTCTTTGAATGTCATAAAAGAGTAGCAAGTATGATGAAGAGCATTGTGTCCAGATAAATTTGTCCTGTTTCATTTGGAAAATTTACTCCAGGTATATAACGTCCATATTAATCTCATTAGATTACCCATCTTGTTACCATAGGCTTCATTACGCAGGTGTCATTAGCTTGAAGTGGACCTATTCTGCTAATTTCCAGCTCTGTATTTGTATCCTGTGACTAAGTCTTTATACTCGCCTGAAGAGCTCCTGCCTCTTGAAGGCCACCTTATATAAAAGCCACTTTCTCCTGATTGGCTGTCTCTTGAAAGAAGACAAAACATAAAGTGACGGTTCAGTCAGAGTTTTTGGATGACTTTTAGTTAGACTTATAACATTATGTGAAAGTTAGTCACATTTAATAAGAACATCAGTTATATATTCCGATATGGAGTAGCAGAATGGGTCCCCTGCCCTCAGTATAAATATTGCTTCTGATCATAGAATACTTTTAAAACTTGTTTAAGGCAGCATAGCATTGTGTTTCAATTTAAGAGATCAATTTAAATCATCCTTTATATAAAATGTGCAAAGTTTTTGTTTTGGGTTTTTTTTGAGAGGGGGGTTGTTTAACTTAATCACTTGGTTGGGATTGTACCTGTTGGTCTGTGACACTGGCCTCTGCTAAAGATCACCGTTTCTTTGGTAGAGCATCAGTATCATGTAGCACAATCTGATACTCTTATGTTTAAATGTAAAATTAGATTTCAAGAGTTGTAAAACCAATATTTTAAGCCATCCAGCTTTTGTTATATGATAGGGACGTTTTACTTTTCTTGCTTGTCTTACCGGTAATACCAATGTTAGCTCAGAAAGCTAACAGAGAACTCCTTTTGAAGCTGGGACTGACGCACTGCTGATAATCCTGCCTGATGGTCGTATAGATATCTTTATCCGCACCTTTTGGGTTCTGTATTTATTTTCTGTGCCACAAACATGGCCGTGTCACAGGAAGTGGTTGAACTTCAAACCTTTGGACTTCCATCTTCCAAACGGCAGTAGGTCGTCTGTCACAGCTCACACTTTGACGCATTTACATCCAGTGTGACTCCACACACAACAGGTCTCATCTCTGCCTTTAAACATGTGCTCAGGTAACTTCTATTCACGTTGCAGACCTGTGAGGTTTCACAGGTTGGACTTCCAGTTTAGACCAGTTTGGTTTAGATGTCAGTGAAATAATGAGGTCCAATATGGAATTGGGAAATGGAAATGGAGAAAATCTCTCAAATAATCTAACAACAGGGCATAATGTGAACAGAGGGTTATACTAGATAGGCCTACGCCTTGCACTTTCTAAAGATATGACCCACACTTAAATGACTCTTTCTTTGGATCCACCCCCTCACTAACTTCATCTTTGTAGTTTTAAGGTATTCTCAATGACTAAATCCCACACTCTAGTCAAGCTGTTAAATATCCACCAGTAGTTTCAGTAGTAATGATCAGATGTAAATGCGTGCCCCGATGATACAAAAAAAAATGGACCACTTTAAGGCCATTTTGAAACCTTGGACACTGCCTGCAGATTCAGCCATTAGTGTTCCACGTGGACAGCAGAAGAACTTCATACTGGCTGAAATGTGATCTCCAATAGAGATTTCAGCTTTGTTTAAACGTGTCACCATTGGTGGTTGGATTGTAAATGATAAAAAGTTTATGGAAAGAGAATTTTTCTCCCAGTTATTGTTTCGGTTACCTGGCTATGACTCGACTGTGCTATAAGCCCTGAAACACTGGCTGTAACTCCCAATGACAGTCAAGCGAGTGTAGTTGGGGTTCCACATTCCCATTCGTCCGCCCTCGTTGGGCTTTTTTGAGCTTAAGCTCCATTTCCTTTCCCCACATGAAATATTGGTCTCTGAAGCAACCTCGGAGTAAAACGGCCTTAGAATGAAGCTGATAATGAGGTTAAGCAGTATAATTAGTCTTCTTTGTGCATCAGTATTATCTGTAAAAATGAAATGTTTAAGAAATGAGATGTTATTTGGGACTGAGTTATTAGCTAGGGATATAAAAGCTGCTACAGCAACGGTCGCAAACAGCTTTGCATACATTAGATTTTAAAGAGGTTTAAAATAAAAACACAGCAGATTTATTTAATGTCTTGATGGCGAAGGTAGGTAATCATTTTGGTCTCTTGATTAATCAGGCTGATAGTTTTGATTGCTGTAATATAGTCAAAAGTACATTTTTAAAATATAAACCTATCAATAAAGTCATGAGTCTGAAGATGTAGATACTAATTTATCACAAACCTGTAAACGGTAGGTTTTCTTTTGGCTTAACACTTAACTTTCCTGAAATGGTAATTATCACTTCAGTAATTTATATAGTCACTGACGTATTGAGCTAGAAAGCTTCAGCAAATACGACAATGAAGCAAAATGGAACCTCATCTGCAAATGAAGTTGAGAGGGTGAATATTGCACAGATAATCCTATGTGATGTCACCTGTATTAAGGTTGCTTGTTTCACAAAGGTCGATGGACCTTTAATTCACCCGTCACAAATGTCCAAGCACTGCAAATCTCTTCTGGACATTTTAAAATTATAATTTTGCGCTAATTAAAGTTGACCTGATGCTTTGGTCTAAAAGAACTTTGTGAAACCAGTTTGAAGACGGAGTAGTCTTAGCTTTGGGATTTGATGCTAAATGTGATGTGGGTTCAGCTTGTGAAGATGTTCCATAAGGCTCTGGCACTTACAAGTATATCCTGTTGAAATTTCTAGGTAAACAAGTCAGCAGTGAGCCCAGGAACGTTTGGATCGTCGGTCATTCACTGGTGTATTGGGCCGAATCACGTGCCAAGTCTCCGGAGGTAGGTATGCAGCTGGGCATGGACCCCGGGAAGGTGACCGTCTGGTGGAAGGGCACCCAGGGCATGACATGGTCTCAGCTGCTGCCGCAGCTCCACCAGCTGAAGGTCACCTGGCCCAACCCAGATGTCCTTATCCTGCACCTGGGGGGGAATGACTTGAGCACCGACAGCCCCACAGACCTGCTAGCCTCCGTCAAGAAGGACTTGACGTCTATGAGGAGCATCTTCCCACAGTGCGTCCTTGTGTGGTCCAATATCCTCCCTCGAAGGGTGTGGCGCCACTCAGTGGACAGCCACGAGGTCGATTTGGTCCGCACTACGGTAAATCGCCGGATCCAAAATATCATCTCAGAGTTGGGCGGCACCTCTCTGACCCACGATAACATCCGCTGTGGCGCAAACACAGGTCTTTACCGGGTCGATGGTGTCCACCTTTCCCAAAAGGGCATCGATGTTTTCAATTTGAACCTGCAGGACCTCCTGGAGAAGTGGGAGATGGAGGTGAACGCAGCCTCTGAGAAGAGCTGAGAGGTTTCACATTCATTTCTTTCTTTTTTTTTTTTTCTTTTTTTTTTAGGTTTATTTCTGAGGATAGCTAGGCAGTTTTTCACCAACTCTGTAGCTGCACAGACCACCTCCTGACTAATGAAACTGTTTTAGCTTACTGTGTAGCATATCTCACATCTTATGGTAATAATAATTCACTGTATTCATGAATGTCAGCTCATTTTCAGCCATTACGACTTAATGTTATGCAGCAGGTATGCAGAGACATTTTTCTCATGCATGGAGCTGTTAAACCTACATTTGATTTAAGCAAAAAGCATGTTCATGATTTAAACTGCTTTGTGTTTGTGTTCTGAAAATGAAATAAACACTGATTCAGTCTGGTCTTTGGGATAAATGTCTCGTCTAAAACAATGATCTGTGAATATGTGGGAACTGTCAGAAGCTTCGGTGACATCTTCATCCGCAATATTATCAGAGCGGAGGATGGAGAAGAACCATTTTGTCATTAATAATTATTACTCATTGTACCCAATGTAGATGAAGGCTGGCATTCACATCTGGTCTTTGTTAACTGAGACAGAAATGAAAGGATGCTGATTGTTTCAGTCAGAGAAGCATTAAAGAAACCTGAATCAGAGTATCTGTGTATCTGTCATATAAGTTACTGCTTTGTTCCAAGTGTAAAACAGCTTTTTTTCACCTGTTTTTGTTTTGTTTTCTCTTCAATGTCTTTGTTTAAAGGTCAAAGCTGCTCTGAATCAGGTGACTGTGGGCGGGACTTCCTGTGTGAACGGTTGTGGTTTCAGACAGTGAATTAAACAGAAATTAGTTGTTTTGTTTTGCTTTTTGAAAAAAGGTCCTTTCATCTGGGACGACCTCAGACCTTAAAACAATCAAATCTGTTTAAAAAGGTTTTTTTCATGTCATTGTGAGAATTTCAAGCTCAAAGGTCATAGGTCAGAGCAGTGTGACCCTCTGAAGGTGCTGCTGGGCTCCTGATGCATGTTTATTGATAGGTGACCGTAAGTAATGATCATTTATTGGTTAGTGCTGGTGGAGCAAGCTGTGCAACATTTAGGAGCAGGGATCTCCTGTGGAGGTCGAATTCTACATAACACACCTGTGAAAACAGTAAGGTAGGTTAATGTGTGTGTGTTTCCTGTGCAGCCACAGAAGCTCTGAAAAGTGATCGCTTTCATTTAATGAACACACGTCTATCCTTTCATTTCAGCTTCCTGCTCATTCTGATCTATTCATATGTTGAGTTGGAAAGTGAGAGTTTGGTCTTTAAATGTTCCATTTAAACAGTTTGTAACTGAAGATGGTCTCTTATCATCTGCTCAGGAAAGAGAACAAAGCCAAAAACATATTTATGTACATTGAGAGGTCACTGATACCCAAATAGTCCTTGTTAGAAAAATGAAGCTCAGAATGATTTGATGTTCTTAGGGGTTGTGTGTGTTGTGGGTTTGCAGCTTTCTGATGTCTCTGTGTTTGTAAGTTAATGACTGAGTTAAAAGAATGATACTGTGAGGTCAGGAAACTGGAGAGACGAAGAGCTTCATCCCTGAAACTAGAAAGACTCGACTGAGCGCAGTAGATCCAAACTCTCCTTTTCTTAACATCTGAGACGACAGTCGTTAAACTCGTCCCCGCTGTGCGCAGAGTGAATGTGAAGGGACGGATCGATGACACCGGTCAGAGTTTAGAGCTCTGATGTTTGAGTCGTAACGTTTCAGACGTGACAGACATGCAGTTTGTTCTGCACTCAAGCTTTCATCTCGTGTGGTACCTGTCTGAGCTGACCAGGTGAGTTTCTGGTTTCTTTGCAGGTTTCGGCCAATAAAGACACTCTAGGTGAGTCGAGGACTCAGCAGGTGAACCGTTCTGAGCAGAAACTTTGGACGCTTGCGCTCATCCTCTCCTGTTTCTCCTGGTGGGATTCCTGCCTTCACCTGGATAGAAATGGAGAGGAGGGGACACTCAGAATGTCGCAGAAATCTTTCTTCCACCTCCTGTACACGTTCATATATATATATATATACTCGAGTTCAACCAAAATGAGTTTTAGAAGAAAATAGATCTGCACTCTGCGACCCTCACAAAGGTGCCTGGAACTCAGGTAAAATCAGAACCTGTTTGAAGGCCACGCGTTCCCACACAGATGCCTACCTGTGATGGATCAGGTGAGCGAAAACTTACCTGCTGAGTCAGTATGCATCAGAGCATCCAATAGAAACAGCTGATCAGATGAGCCTTCGTGAAATTCAACATAAGTTTGAATATTTCATCAAACAGAAGCTGAAGCAGACAGATGTCTGCAGCCTGAGAAGATGAGCTGAAAGTTTGCTGCTTCCATTGTTTCCCCTGAAAACCTTTCAAAATCCCACCACTGCTAATTTTCCAGCTAATTTCCTGCAAATGTGCTTAGTAATTTCCAACAAGTCAGACGTAAATCTCAGGACGTCTCTCGCAGACCTAGAGGGGAAAGTGTTGCTGTTATATTTTCAGGTTTCAAACTAGTAAATAAACTGGCTCTGTGATGAAAAACCAGCTGCCAGAGAGACGCTTCGTCCCCCAGGCTTTCATTCTGATGAACATAGTGAAACAACCCACTGTTAGATCATTTGGGTCATATGCCAGTGCCCTGCTCTGTTTTCCAATCATAATTTGCATAATAGTTTGTTTTAATTATTTGCACTAATACTTTGAACAGTTTCTTATTTATCCAGTGTGGAGTCGGTTTGATTTGTTGAAACAGAGTTCAGCCGCAGCTTCAAAAACATGAGAAATTTGAGAAATGCTGACAAACTGACAGACTCGAATCAGCTGTTAGTCAGTTCACACATTTCCTAATTTTTTCTTAGAAAACTGGAACATGATGAGTGCCAAACTATTCTGAGATTTAAAGCTGAACAGCAGCTGGTATTCAGAGGCATGAGGAGGGATCTTTGGGAGGAGCATTTTAGGTTGATGAAAGCAGAGAGACGTGCCATGCTTTAAAGGAAAACAAACTTAAAACAAAACTCAGGGGTACCACGAGGAGGGAGAAGTTCGTATGTGAAAGCATGCCCTGATGTTTTAACATGCAGGCAATGTGCACATCACCTGTTCCAGCTGTTACCCTCAGGCAGCCAGTGCAGGACACTTCAAGCCAAAACCGGCTGTTGCACTAATAAATATACTCGGGGATAAACCACTGTGAAAATGCAAACTCTTAACTCTACAATATTTTTCTAAGGACTAAATCACTGTGCAATAACCATATTTTCCCTTGTCCATTCTCATATACAGTCTTCTATATACTATATTATTTATTTATTATACTTTTTTTTTCTCTTGTCACTTGCACTGAATTTGTTTGGATACAGTTTCTGTTGTTCATAAAGCACAATGACAATAAAGATTCTGACTCTTTAAAAAAAAGTGTGATGATGTTACTTTTGTGAACAATGCATTTCATAAATGTCACACACTCTGTGCAAGTGCAAATCGAAGAGCTGCCATAAGTTTGTTGTCACAGATGCATCTGTAGGTGTCTCAGTTTGGGGAGGGGGGTATTTAACTCTTTCATGCATGAATTATGACAACCTCAATCAGGATTGTTTTCTTAAGTATTTTATTCATCTTCAGGCATGAAAAAAATATTTTTGAACTTCATTTTTTAAACATGCTTTTCAAAGAGTTTTGTTTTTTGTTACATGTCCACTTACAAATGTCCACTGGCTGACCAGTGGGTGGCGGGGTATGGAGTGACACATCAATGTCCAATGCAGTGATTTATGTTAAAGTATACTATCAACACGGACGCAAGTGTTTGATCTATCAGTTTGCATACCAATTGGCTTCTGTGAAAATGGCTGATGTATAAGAATTTGCATGCCCAGGAAACCTCTAGAGTGCACGACAGATGTAAAGAAACATGCAGGCAGGGTTTACCCTTCCCAGCCTCCCAAACCCTGAGATGGATAAGCACAAAAGAATACATGGATGGATATGATATATATCAAATCAAATCACTTTTATTGTCACATCACATGTGCAGGTACATTGGTACAG